CAAAAGAAGCAAAAGTGTAAAAGTAACTACTTGGGGTATATTATTGATATAGTAGTTCTGTAAATAAAATGATATATGACCTTATATTTTATTTAAGACGAAATTTACCCTCCTTCATTTGTTGCTACACTCGATGTGTTTACTTTGTTTGTTGTTGTGTTGTTGTTTTTGTGTTTCTTTCTTTCTTTTTAGTGCTTGTCTTGCACGCGTATATTATACAATTATGGTGTGACGATGGGGTGAATATATAATTATGAAGGTCCAGTTACTTGAAATTATGAAGGTCCATTTACTTGGATATTCACCGGTATCTTCATACAATAACAGCTTAACTATATGACAAAAATATAATTTTCATTTGGTAAATTTGTACGATTTCCTTCTACGCAAACAACCCGTAAATAAGCGAACGGAAAGGACAGAAGTTTTTATATATATATTCGGTTATAATGTAGTTAAAGATCATAGAAAAATAGGTAATTCATGCCGTGCGATGGACTAGTTTTTTTGTTGAATTATAATGTAAGTCAGTTATTTTGATATAACTCATTTCAAAGCAAACTTCATGTTACATAAAAAACTGGATTGAGTAAATTTTAAAAGCATTTAGTATTACGGACCCTAATGTTTTTCAAATGTTACGTCATATTTGATAAGATTACAATATGTCTTGAATGTATGGTCACTAGGGTCGATAATCATTAAGTTAACGGAGCAAGGAAAATACTACCATCAACACAATAGAAATATCAAATAAATTGAAAGATTAGTTTAAACGTTTTTTTATTATAATCAAGATACATATATGAAGATAATTAACACATTGAAGCAGAAAGAAATTGGACTGAGAACTGTAAGAGTCCATGGTTGTCCTCTCCTTTATATTCAAACGTGCTGAAAGTTAATTCGTATAATAAGCTAACAATGTAGTATAAAGCGAAAATTAGCTTTTATAATATAGCAAAATATTCAAAAAAGAGTATTCGTTAACGTGACATCGTTTTCATTTCTTATATTTCGAGATATCGATGAAACAGCTAATCAAACGGTTGAACTCTAATCTTGATAAGGCACTTGTTATCAACTTGATGGCTCAGTGCGAGTTAATAAAAGACAAGATAATAATTTACGCATTAAAACATGTTGGTATTTCCTACAGAAGGTCGTGAACACTGACGATATCAAATCAATCTGCTTCAATATGAACTTTTCACCCACAGCTTTTCTGTATCAAAAATGATTTCAGGCAAAAATCGATCTAGTTTTTTCGGTATTGAAACTTTCAAATACGACATTTAATGGTATCTGTATATAAACGAGTATCAACCTATACAAATAACAAAAGTTATCCTTCTTTCCAATAACCAAAAACACTCTCATTCCCTGCGGTCTGGAGACCGCAGGGTATTGGTACGCGTTTAACTTTTTAGGCATGGAGGAGCACGTGACCTGTTTTCGGTACATGGAGGAGCATGTGATCTGTAAACCGTACATGATTGGTTAATTGACCTTTTCGAAAACCTGGCTAAATACCGTTTGCCGGTACGTTACGGATTTACCTCTAGGGAATAAGTCAGAGTGACACCTAATTAAGAACAAAAAACTATTACGTGATATTTCTAATTTTCTATAATTATTTTACCGTTTAAGGTGGAAAAACTTGAATGATGTGTTTGAAAATTATCAATGTTTCTTTAATATGTATCTCAAATTTTACAAACAATAAATTGTTTGTACTGAAAATCTACAAAATTACAATATTCGTAGTGGCATCTGCCAGAATAAATAGAGATATTTTCTGCGTAAACCTGTGTGTTTACTTTTTTTTGCTCGGAATTATTCATAATATGGTAGGCCTATTTTAATCATTTCTTAAATAGAAATAATTGTTTTATGTTCGACCTTCTCCGGTCATCAACGGTCACCAGTTTCCAAAGACCTTCTTCTATATTGATCGATTATTGTCAACTATATTTCTGATAAAACCGCGCGTTTATTTATTCCCCCCCCCCAAAAAACAATGTTGAAAATAGTTAAATGAAATATCTTTATATCATTAAAAATGTTCCCCGCAGGAAACCATTTTACTTGTATTATATATGGATTATTAGTTGATATTCTCTACAAGGATTGATCAGCTAGACAGGAGCATTATGTTCCTTTTAATGATTCCCTTTATCTTGCATTTGAATGCAAAACAAACATGCTGCAGGGGCCTTGGTATGTCTAACTCATAGAAATATGTACTTGAAAGAATATTGATGAAGTATTAGTTAGTTTATGGCAATTGAGGCTGTTACGTGCACATCAGGTTATTGTATCAATGTATCCTCACCAACCTTTGTAATTTGGTTGTCAATAATGTGACGAGTCTTTGAAAAATTTATAAAAATTGGCTTTCTTGCCAAAGCCACGTGTTGTCATTATTTTCTATATAGCTGAGACTGAAAGGTTGCTGAGAGAATTTTTAAAATCAAGCTTGAATCGCTAATTCTTATTGAATTTCCCTTGAAACCGGTTATATTATATTATCTAACTAAGCTTCAAATAAGATTAATTTGGACATATTTAATTTCCTTTAATCGACTTGAGTTTATGCAAGATCTCTTTTTATTGGATTCATTATGTTTGTTTTATAATTGCAGCTTAAACTACTGATCGATCTGTATTCCTCAAGTTCATTTTTTTTCGTTCTTTGAAGTTATCGGTTTCTCGATATTCCAGGTCCATCATAACATATATCGTGAAGACTTTTAAAAGGGAAAATTTCCCAGGTATTATTTTTCCAGCATGGAAAGGGGAAAAGAACATAAAGCTAAAATTAAACTAAAATTGTATTTACAATTTACACCCGTAACAACCCTTTTTTGGGGTTAAAAAATAATTTAATCTGAAATTTTATATAAAAAAAAACAAGCCCATACTAAGACAACCAGAGAAGTACACATGTGTTTGTAAAATAAGTATCCCTTAACAATGTACATATGTCTTGTATTGTATATTTTGCAAGAACTATTTGAAAGATAAAGTATATCATCTTAAGTGTATTTTCGCCATTAAATGCATGCCATCCATGTCGTCTTATACAACATAATCTCTGTAGTGTGTCCGTCTTACTGTCACAGTCAGATATTGTTGTAACTATAAGAAAGTATTATCATACAGAATACATATAGATTTTATTGTCTTTAATGTCTAACGTTTTAGAAGAATCATAGGGAAAACAATCTGATAAAATTTGGAAAAGATAACAGCGTGGTTATTGTTTAAAATTTAATTGTAAATTGCTAAGTTTTACATAATCGCCACGGTTGGTATGTAATTTTTCAATATCTTTATGCGGTATAATCAATTGCATTTGTCAGGGTAGATCCAAACACATCAAATTGATAAATGCTGTTTGAAACTTTAAAAATGTATCAGGTAGAACGAATTTAAAGCAATACCTTATTACTCAAAAGCTTTTTATTCAGATTGTAATGTAGCTTCTATTCAAAGTTTATTGCATTTATTGAGCCTCATATATTGCAATAGTTGCAAGTCTCTACTGATTGACGGCATGAACTATAACAGACGTTTTATTCACTCGTGTATTAACACATCACTTGTCAGGCAATATGTCAATATAGTTTTATTTCGTCTACAATTCTGTCAGCCCCAGCTGAGATACTTCCGCGTCACTGGTATCTTTAATCAAACATTATTTCCTTTGACTCATTAATGGTTGTCCTTGGTATGAGAATTAAGTATCGTAAGTGAATAAGCCGTGCACTTTTAAAAATTGCAGTACTGTAGGTTGTATTGAGGGTTCTGCTTATGAAGTAATGTGTAATTGACGTATTGATGCGTTATTACAACTCGTCTATGCGATTTCAAAGATTTCTAACAAAAATAACAAAAGGAAGCAATGTTTTTGTTGTTGTTTTGTTGTTGTGTTGTTGTTGTTGTTGCCTGGGGTGTTGTTGTTGTTATTTCTGGAATGTTACAAATTTGGCGTGTTATCTTACAACATAGTATTGCTAAACATGCATGAATTCGAGTAATGAAAATGTCGCATATTTAAACGCTAAAAAACCTCAAAAATTGTAATATTTTCAGTTTTTGCAAGAACTTTTTGTCTTGTTGTCATGTTACAGTTTTCAAAATGTTACTCATTGGCCATTTGTTTCTTATACGTTATGGCAATTAATACAAATCTACAAATCGTGAATAAGTAGTGTGTGAAATCAAAATTCAACTTTGTTTCTATTTTGCTATCTTTATTAGAAATTATTACACATTTGACGCTATTTATACGTCAGGTGATTTACTCTGGCCGACCATGCTGGGTTAATAACGGGTGCTAAATAACTAACTATTCGTCGCGGAAATATCACTGCCGCTTAATTTCTGTCTTCGTTTAACATATTATGTTTTCAAATGGCTACATAATGGGAAAGCATTACATTTCCAATGTGCGACAAATTTACGTTAACCATTAGAGCTAATTTAATGTTGCTTTTCTATTAACACATTCATGTTAAAGCCATTATCTTGTTTCAAAACATCTGAAGCCTGGGGTAATTTAGTCTACACTATATTTATATGTCAAATTGCCCAAACTGCATCATACAAGATTTTTAAAAAGGGTAATTTAAAGGGATTTTTTTACATGATGGGATTTTAAAAATATTTTTTCCAGATAATTACCTTTGATTAGGTTGAACATTTTGGGGAAAAGTTGAAATTTTTCAAAAAAAAAGTTTTTTATTTGCTTTTCTTTACCCCCTTTGATGAAAACCTTTTCTTTTTGTGTTTTTAAAATTTGTTTTTTGGGACAAAAATCGCAATTTTGAATTATTGAAAATAGGGGTCTTAAAATACATTTAATGGGACATTTATTTGGGTTCCCCTTTAATGACCCCCCGCTTTTCTAAAGGGGTTTAAAAGTTATTTTTAAGATAAAACTTTTTATATAATTGCCAAAACAAACAAATTAAGGTATAAATGAAATTTGTCGCCGATAAAATACATGAACAATAATATTACTGAAATACTTAGTTTAAAACAACACAGAATTGTTTTTGGTTCCCTTCACTCCTTTAATTGACTTGTAAGTTTTAGGAATAAAAGACCCTCTTTATTATGAGATATCTATTTCAAAAAATGGTGTGAATAAATGTGAAGAAGTGCTCGTTTCAATCACTTTATAAACGAAATATTTCTCTATGTTAGTTTTGTTTGTTTCATCAGCGCCAACCTGATAAAATCTATATGAAGTAAAATCAATTATAACATCGCCTTTAATGAGCACATGCTTTTATATTAATTTCACTGATATCATTGATTTAACACTAGATATTATCATCATTATAATGTAATATTATTATAACTTTTGTTGTATAAATGCTCACTGTCACATAAGCCTTTAACTGCTATATTGTATTTCCCATTGATCGGTTACTATGGAGACAAAGTTTGATGACAATGGAGGCGAGTAGTTTGTAGGTTTATCCGTTATAGGAAACCTGTTGGTGAGAGCTGGTATAAATAAATCGAAAGGTAACGAGAAATTAATTGATATTTTCTAATTTACAGGAAGGATTTTACTTTAATTTTGCTCCATTCAAAGGAAATAATGAATGTATTTCTCACACTTTAGAACTTATTGTACTAAAACTAACCTTATTTAATTTTTGCTATGCATATGTAAGCATTATTTGTGAATATTAAACATGCATAACAAAGGGTAAGTATTGTATTATATAATATTGTGGTAATTAAAGCTATAATAATAAATGTATTAAAATAGGAAAAAAAACTAATATTTTTGATTTCATTCCCATAGGGATAGCAATAAGCAGGAGTCTCACAAGAAATTGCGGCAGAGAAACTTTTTTTTTCCAAAAACAACGACAATGTCATGTTGATAAAAAACGCTTGCTTTCATTTTTTTTGGATATAAAGGACGGTTTAGCATATTATCGAAACGAATGAGCTTGATGTATGAACATATATCTATCTATTCTTCGTGTTCTTTGTAGCGGGATTACAAATAGAAAATGTGTATTATTGTGACAGAAGATGAAAACAACATGAACGTTGGGTGACAACTTTTTTTTCTATAAAGCAATGGGGCGAGGTCAATAGCACAAAAATGGGATGTTCACCATCAAGGAAACGTATTTACGGATTTGGGACAAAAAGTAGGTACATGTATATCTATGTTTTAAGTACTGTGCATTGGAAACGTCAAGTTTCATTAGACAAAATTAATGTTTACATAGTTGTTGAACATGTTTATAATGTTTTAGTATTCAGTTATTCACGTACACGGATTTAGCAAAATTATAATACTTTTTTTTTCTATATTAATTGCAAGAAACAATTGCAAAGAAATACAAATTTGTTTTAAAGTTGTTGTTTTTTTTGACACGATAAAAAGCAATGTATAAACTAATGTTATATGTTTATAATCGTTTTTACAGGGTCATATATAATTAATAATATAATAACTAGTCATTTTAGAAAAATGCAGTCTGAGGTGATGCTTCTGAATGTATATACAGTTCTAAAGCAAGTTTATTCAAATGGAAAGTTCCAACATTGTAACGCTCACTCTTCCTAAACATATGGATTAAAATGTTGGTTTTTTTTGGGTTTTTTTCTGATACATTACACTAGCGATGCAGCACTTTAAGAGTGTGTGCTTAATTTAATGACATCATCTAAAATGGTATATTGCGGTTAATGTTCAATGTTCAAAACTACAGTTTATAAATTATATTAGTTATTACAGACCATCGTTGGCCGCAACAGAAATCGGTTTTATATTCTATATAGTTTTAGACATTTTTTAATAAAGTTGATTTTCAAAAACACTATCTCGTCCACTCGTAATGCTGCGTAGGTCGAAAAAGTTAAAAGTCATTCAAATGGTCTTTTCTTTTTATATCTTTAATTTTTTTTATTTATAATAAAATTGAACCGTCCATTTTTTACTTTAAGGACCCACTATCCCACTTTCCATTATTAACCGAATTTAAATCCGAATATTTTAGTATAATTTCTGATAAATACATAGACTTTTCTCTGTGATGAGACTGGGGGTAATCCGTATAGATTTTAGAATACTAAATTGTATTTAAAAAATGCAATTTCTAAATTATTTGCTGCAACTCGTTATTGTTTCATAGGTTGGGTTCTTTATTATATAGAATATATTTCCAAACAAAAACAATTTTCAAAGTTTTAAAATGCGTATGCAGTTGATGAGAGCTCTTAAATATTCGAATAAGAAAATGCTTCTTATCTATTGACAGAGATAACATGCTATTATAACAAAATTAAGAACATTTTACATTTTTCATAGGACTACGGGCTGCACTTTTGATACAAAAATGGTATAGACGGTACAGAGCGCATTTAGAAGTTCGCAGACGCTGCACGTGGAATATATTCCAATCCATTGAATATGCCGGAGAGCAAGACCAACTAAAGGTGCAGTGTCTTTAATCGCCGAAAACAAATATTTTGTTTCAGATACTTGAATAATATCAATGCTATTTTCAATAATATGATAATACAATTACCAAAATAATTGAAAAGTATGTACATTGTAAAAGTCAAAAAGTTTGTCCTGAAAAGGACTCCCTTTGTGCAGAATGATGAATAGTAAACAAAATCTATAAACACGCATAACTTAAGCAACTGAAAATTGTATATACGGTCTTTTGTTTATAAACTGTATATCACTGAATAAAAACAAGTATTATTCAGCAAACTTTTGTTGCAAATCTTTGGAAGAGTTCTTGAATTTCATCAGGGAACATACAGTTTAACTATCTTAATACAAATGATTACCTCCAGTCAGCTGGTGGAAATTTTATTAGATTTTTGGTCGTCCCTTGTACTTATTTGATTTTGCCTTAATGAGAACTCTTTGATTAGTTCAAATTTTTACTGTTTAATCAAATGCAGGTGTTTCTGCACTAATGAAATCAATTTTAATTACGTAAACATGGAAACTGATTGTGAATAAATCAAATGTCTGAGGAAAAACTAACCAAATACAGATTATATTCCCATAACGAAAGCTTTGAAGATGGAAAATTGGAATTCAAGGAACAAGTAAAACATGTTATATTTGTCAATTTTGCCATCTTTGTAAAACTGATGATATTGAAAACCAATTTCATGTTTTTTTATCGTTTACTTTGATTTCAGCTATAACAGTAATACGTTATGAGTGATGATTTATAGCCTGTTTATAATGTACTGTTAAATCAGTATTGTAAATTATATGAGGGATGTTTATGGTTAACATATACATAATTATATATGTCACTGATCATATTAATGAAACCTCTTCTGAAAATCGTAACAATAATGTATGTTAATGTAGAACAATTATTAGCATAGTTTTATTTATATTTTACTATTTTTAGCTTCATAACTTCTTTAACAAAATGCTGCTAAATATGTCAACAGACGACGGACAAGCGCCTCTAATAAGTGCACTTAATGTCAACAAAGAAGCATCCATATATGGTAAGTGTTATCTAAATATGAGCCGCGTAATGACAAAACCAACATAATGGGTTTGCATCCGCGCAGTCAGATCAGGATCCATGCTGTTCGCTTACCAACTCTATTACAAGTAGAGAAACTGATAGCGAACAGCATGGATCCTGATCAGACTGCGCGGATGCGCAGACTGGTCTGGATCTATGCTGGTCGCAAACCCATTATGTTGGTTTTGTCGTGACGCGGCTCATATCTTTCACTACTTTCGCAAGAATTATTTTTAAAATACAACGTGACATGTCATGTCACTTTTGTTTTCCATTTCTAATTAATCTTATGGTTTGATTGACCAGCTTATACTTCTCATTTCCCAGATTAGCATTTATTTATATATTTCCCGACTGACTCAAAAAGGACCCCATTACGTTTCTTACTTAAGTAATATGACGAACGGACATATTCATATATCCTTTGATCTCACTTTATATAATATTGAAAGAATAAAAAGATGTAATGGTAAACCCCCCGCCTAATTTCAACAATGTTTGTACATTGATAGAATCATTTAATATCTTTTTTACCCTAATAAACCGTTCTCACATTTATTTTATAAATGGCGTAATCCCTGATGAAATAATACAAGCATCTATTAATTTATATGACATAAAAATAAATGCTTTATTGTCACGGCATACTTCAAAGATAATAGCTGTGATACTATGGCATCAGATTCCGTAAACAATGTAGAAATCGTCAGGAGAATAAGTCCGTCGCCATTGGCAACCGATAAAGAAGCGCGTCGATGAAACCACTTAAATGTAGCATTATTTTATATAATTGGATTTTTTTATTCGTCAATAGGATGAGAATGAAAAAGGTCATATAAACAAGAGAAAACATATTAATGTTATAGGTCATTCACCTTGACATTGAACGGTCACTGAAATCAAAATAATGTAAGGCATTTAGTGTATGAACTCCGAGTCTGTGAAATCGAATCACAGTAGAATGATATGCTATATTTAAGAGCTAATTTTGCCGAAATTTAAAAAGCACGATTTTTGTTGTTGTAAATGCATATGATTTATGTTCAAGACAGGGGAAAATGATACCTATAATTATGTTTGTATCTGTACGGAATCAAGGGATATTATTTGTATAGTTGTCTGAAAGTACTTGACTCAAATGCCGATTAAAACCTGATTGAACCATGAATAAATGTAAAAAATCTTGTATAATGGTCTAAAACTAGATTGTTGAATTCTATAAAACACTTAAATGGACGCAAGCCAGTCAAATTTGTCGAGAAGAGGGTACTCATGATTTAAAAACTAATGAAAAGCTTGATCTAATTTTTTTAATTTAACATTTTGCTCAGTTCTAATCTTATCACACTTTCCAATCAGGCTAGTATATTTTCAGAGGTATTGGTTGTCAATTAATGCAAATAGTTCTGCAACTTTTTTTTACTTGTTTTCAGTATTGAATATATACATGTATTGCAATAAAACTGTAACAGTATCAATGTTGTTAAAACATCCGACATAGCTTAAACGAAACCAATGTTGTTTGTCATAAAATTTCAAGTCTTTGTCTTGACACAAAATTGAATTCTGTATCACTTATCAATACTTTTCACCGTGATTACTTCAGATACACAGACAGTATCAGACAATAATAGTGAAATTTTTGACAAGTATCTAGATGGTATCAAAGTGGAGAACAGTTACAAAGGAATCCATCTGAAATTTCCTCTCACACTGAACCAGCTTCATAAAATGGTGCAAGCGTTCAAACGAAATCTGGTAAATTATATATGTTCCTAATTAGTATTCAAATATCAATATATCTATATATATATATATTTGTAATAAATGAATATTTTCACGGGGATGTCTTAATTAATTGGATTAATCAGTATGATATGGTATGGTATGAAGGGCAAGCTGAAAGTTTACGAGTAGTAAGTATGTTTGCAAATTTTGTTATCGGTTTACTTTATGATAAAGATTTATATTTGAATTACGCTATTTATGCTTAATAAGGATGAATAACATAGATAATTACGCTTGAAAAACATGTGTGCAGAGGTCAGGGGTAATATTCATTATAAAAGGAATATTATGATGGTGAAAAATATTGGAAATTGTATTTACTTTTGAAACACAGTAAACCTATCAGGAATACAAGTAACCTTTGAAGACCTACATGTGCTGTAATTGCTGCTTTATTCGGCTGATCAAATATAGAATACTACATTAATTAATTGATAATAATAAAAAAAAGACTCAGATGGTAATAAAAACGTGTGTCTGGAAGCAACCAAAGTAGATTAGCACTTTATGATGCAATACAAGTTTGCCATATCAATTTCAAAGAACTTTGTTCTCAAATCGAAACTTCTAAGCGTATATTATGTATTTCAAGTCAAAGCTAAAGTCTAAAGAAAAGACAATTGTGATATGTAAAGAGTAAGCATAATGATGATATATATGTTGTATCATTTATTCTACTTCTTTTTATTTATTGTAAGAGGTAAGTATATTGCGACTCGTTTCATTTATTTATATAAAAATCACTTTATATATTAATCACCTGAATGATTTTATATTTTACACGAATTTTTGAACCCTTTATCCGTCTTAATTAGATAATTAAACAGTGATATTCATATCTAATCCTAATATCGATGTACGCATACTTAAATATTTTACAGACGCTGCACGCAAAGTACACCATCCAGTTGTTGTTGGAAACAAGAAAGATTCTAAAGACACAGGCAAACATCCGCTACGCAACAACATCCCTTTCTAAACAGATAACAGTGTGTGGGGATATACATGGCAAACTTAGTGATTTATATATGGTCTTTCATAAAGTGAGTGTATATATATATTCATAGTAAATATTTGTAAATTTTTAAAGCATAATTTGTATGACTTTCCGTGAAATAAACACCGTTTTTGTATGTTACAAAAGTTGTCGTCGTCTGCTACATGAAAGCTTAAAACATTTTTTTTTCGATAAGCATATATCCTAAACAACATGAATAAACTATCTTAATATTTCATTGCATTGTACAGCATCTTGGTAGTTAGCAATATTTACAAAAACATAACACCAATATTATTATAAAAAACAACCCTGATTATATACATTCAAAAATCATGATTTGAAATTATACAGTAACAAAAAAATATGAAAGGTAATTCTTGTAAAGACTTAGGAGTTGTTTCTTATAGCAAGGGCTTCTCAAAACCAATCAAATTGGTCTATCAGCAACAAGAAAATAAATCGTTACGTATATTAAAAAAGGATATAAGCAAAAAGTATTGGTAACATATTGATCGTTGTTTCTTAGATTTTTAATATGGAACTCTAAAGTTGCATGAAGTGTTTAGTCACTGTGTCCGCGTAATGTTCTCTTATGTCTATAGGGCTTAACAAATGTTTGAATAAAGTTGAATAAAGCAATTAAAGCCCGATTTCAGTACCTCAACGGGTTGATGTTGGTTTTTTTTTTTTTTTTTTTTTTTTTTTTTTTTTTTCATTATTGTTCTATTATCACAGAACGGGCTACCAGCTGTGAATAATCCCTATATATTTAATGGCGACTTCGTGGACCGGGGACATTTCTCTACTGAGGTCGCTCTTGTGATATTTTCGTGCTTTATCATGAATCCTAATGAAGTGTACATCAATAGAGGAAATCATGAAGACCATGTTATGAACTTAAGGTCAGTCAATTATTATTAATTTATTATTATTATTATCAGCACCATTCTCGCCATCGTCGGCAAGACTGCTGAATACAATTAGTCTTTTAGGTGGTCTTACTGTAATGCTTTCCGCAAAATCGGCCAATATCGTTGAAAAAAATAACGCTCCAGAAATAACCGAGTTGATACAATATTGGTCGATGTTTGAATTTTTTTTTCGGGAACGCATTATGTTAAAACTATCTTAATTCTATTGATTTCTAGTGGATGCAAGTGTTTCAAAACACTTTTCGTATTTAATTATTAAAGAATCCCGGCTTTTCTTTTTAGAAAATGAATAAAAATGTACAGGTATTGTTTTCATTTCTATCAAGGACATAAGATATAGTTTATTTAGTTGTAATTAACAAACAGTAATTAATTAAAAGATACAGTTCTAACAGTTGTAATGCACAAATCGACACGTGCACGCCAAATTATATAATATATAAACGTGCATTTTCTTTTCTGTTCTAGGTATGGCTTTGTCAAAGAAATAGAGAAGAAATATAGGGTAAGTTTAAATTTATCATTTGTTCCAAGTCTCCTTGGAGATTGTTCTTTATTTGCTGATTGAAAAACATTGTGTGTAACTTATATGTTATGGACAAAAAGTATTTACAACACACATTTTTTTATAATTGGAACTAGAATTTAATCAATTCAACAATGTGCGGTTTGATTATTATGTAGTAAATGCAACGATGAAAATGTCATTATGTGTTTACATTTCTATATAATATGATAACATTCTAGAAATATGATATGAACATTTAACAAAACGTTATGAAATTTATTCTTAATAGTTCATGTTTTATTAAAAAAAACTAGTTAAAAACTTCAAATACCCAATTAGGTATATTAGCTATTAAAGAATTTACGATAAAGAAAACACGAAGAACATTTATATTTATACAAAAGCAAGAAATTTCATTTAACGCCTTTTTTCATTCTAACAGAAAGCATAATGTAACTAAAAGAGCTGTCTTTAACTCTATTCTAGCAGCACTCGAAGAAGATAATTCATTTATTCAGGGACGTGTTCAGTTGGTTACCACTAGCAACCATGGTTGACGAACAGATACTGGTGTGTCATGGCGGTATATCAGACAGTACTGATCTTCAACGTTTGTCAACCATTGATAGACATAGGGTAGATCCTAAATTACGATAATTTCTCAGAATTTTCATAATTTTCTCTTTCTACCCAAATTGGATGAAAACTTAATACATAACGTTAAAAAATAAATATAAATAAATATGAATAAAACATGTTAAATTTGGCGAATTGTCAGCTGTTTGATTACATGTTTTATAAGAAGTTACATGTACATGTGATATTGTAACTTTTGATCGTGTTATCAAGTAATATTTTGCTGAATTTTGCTGTTTTGTAAACGTTTACGACTTTAGAATAAGCACAGTTCTTATCACATGGTTTCAGTCCTGGTTCGATAGTCATTGATATATTAATTGTTTAAGTCGTGTCTTTGTCTCAGTTTAGTATATTATACTAGTACAATATAATATATATGATATCACAATGAATGAAACTGAAGCTTATTATTTGATTATTTATTGTACAGTATTTATCAACTCTACAACCTCCTGGTGGCTGTGATGATATAAGTACAATGTCTCAAGACGATCTTATAGAATGGAAACAGGTAATGACAATAAAAATGAAAACTAAAATAAGATACGTGCATTGTAATTTCGTTAATCATTTATGGGGGAGATTTCATCATCATCATCATCATCATCATCATTATCATCGTCATTTGCATCATCATTGTCTTCATTATCATCATTATTCTCTTTACTATTATCATCATTCTTATCATCATATTTATTTCCGCAGTAAAAACTGCTTGCATTTTAATATTAAGGTTTTGCAGTTTCCTACGCAATTAAGCCAGACACAGTTCCAGTCCTAATATTCAGTAAAACCCATTTATAGATTGATGCCTGTGTTATTTGGCATACATTAATAATTGTGTCCTATAAGTTTTGGTGCGGCAAGGTCATTCATTTTCATTTTTAATCAATTTGCATAAAATGACAAGTGTCAGTACAATTACGAAAGAATATGAATTTTGGTATTGATTTTGCATTTCAAGATATCCACACATCACGATAACTTTAGTGTTTGTATATTTTAGATGGAGCGATCCAAAGACTATAGTATTTGTATATCTTAGATACTCAATCTGCTTCAGAGAGATCAAGAAACTATAGTTTTCGTTTATTTTAGATACTCGATCTGCTTTGGAGCGATCCAAAACCAAATGATGGCTGCCAGCCTAATACATTCAGAGGTGGGGGAGTTTACTTTGGGCCCGATGTTTCCGCTCGATTTCTGGAGGAAAACAAACTAAAATTGCTCATACGATCTCATGAATGCAAACCAGAGGGGTTCGAATATACTCATGATGGTAAAGTAAGTTTGCTGATGTGTGTTGACATATATAAATGTGTTTGTTTTGGAGCTTCATTCCTTAAAAATATAAATAAAATAAAAAGATAAAATCTTAGCCCACAATACTGTAGTTCATTCATTATGGTCAACCAACCTGGCTGATTGGCTTATTTGATTCTTATTGTCAGGGGAGTCAGTTTTAAAGAGTCCAAATTAAATGAGCTACCACAATTAACGAGTTGTATTTTTAGGCCCAATGGGGTATATTTAAAACGAATATGAATATACGAATATTTTAATTTCGCTTTCCCATGGCATGAAAATGGTAAATATTACTTTTATTTCTGTAACAAAAATTACAAAACGTACACCTTGTAGATAAAATATACATTTTTGTTGCGCATGACAAAGTTTAGAATGTTGTAAAACCAGTGTATCGCTTTCTCGTGATAACGGTATAACATTCATCCTTTAAAGTACTGAAAAATATTGATGGTAACGAATTTAATCAAATCTATCAAAGCTTATAATATCTAAATTAATCAAAATTTACCTAGATTTATATAGAATATAATAAAGTTCTTAGTTAACTTTGGTAAAATTTATCATTTGAAAACAAATTAGTGATTGTTTTTTGTTTTTTTATTCTTTTGTTAATTCCTTTTACCTTTAGAAACATTATTTGAAACAGTATCTGCACAGTAAACCTTTGCAATATCAAAAATGAAGGAACATCTGTATGTGTTCCTTCATCAGGTCAGGCTGGAAGATCACCAAAGACATATTAATGTCCTCATTATTTTCTTAAACTTCTAACCTGCTGGAACTAAATGTGATCAGCATTTACCCCCAATATTCAGCTTGGCCAGCCTGCATATTTGAGTAGTCTGATTTGACTTTTCACTGTTGCTACCTCATTTTCTTGTATTGTGGTATTGAAGTCACATAAAATTCTAAAAGACTGTCCCAAATATAAAATACGGCAACTATTTTTCACAAATTCAGCAGTTTGTTTTTTGTTGTTTTTTGTTGTTTTTTTTTCTGTTATATATAAACATGATAAATAAAGCTCATTCGTCACTCCAGGTACTTACCATATTTTCTGCCTCAAATTATTACGAGACTGGCAGTAACCTTGGGGCATTTGTCCGGATACAAGGACAGAGCATGGAGTGTCAAATAATACAGTTTACCTCAAGTCATAGTCCGGTTCTCAGAAAGATATCTTTCACACAAAGGTAATTTCTTATTGTACATGTCAATTGTGTAATGTTTATTTTTCTATAATCAAATAATTTAGCTTTAAAAATGCAACTTGTTTTTAGTAACAGTACGCAGTAATTAAATCTGGTAGCTTTATTAAATTAGCTTTCATTATTTGTTGGAAATTGCTAAATAATACATATAAATTGGGGATCGAGCCATATTTGGGGCACAAACGTATATAGTCAAAATTATATTGGTTTGGGTAACAGTAGTCACGGAAAAGATATTGCATAATTCACCGCAATGTTTGTGGATAATAAATCTATATATAAATCTATTCTTAAATGTTTCTTTAGTTTTCTTTCTGACTACTTTTAGCGTACAAGTAATTTTGTATTAAACTGTTGTTAAAACAAACCTATGTTTGTAACATTTATATTGTTACTTTCTATTCAGGATAAATCTGGTAGAAAAGTCTGCTCTAAGTGATTTGAGGGATCGTCTACTTGCTTCGAAGTCAGAATTATTGAACGAATTCAGCAAATATGATCCGGATAAAACCGGTAATTCTAATTATATAATCACTTAACCTTTTACAAGCATTGTAAACGAAGCTGAAGTCTAAAATAAAATGGATCAAACATGTCAAATTAAGCACCTTGTAGAAAACATCAGATTTTGCTCTTTGAGTTAGTGACATCCGGTATGCTGGTCAGGTTGTCAAACATAATAAAATTGTATTCTAAAGTCTGCTTTATATTACAACAAGTTATATCAAAATTTGTATCTGTATTATACAGTACAATACAGCACAGCACATAACAGCATGACAGCACATAATAGCATAACAGCACATAATAGCACATAACAGAATAACAACACATAATAGCACAACAGCACATAACAGCACATAGCATAACAGCACATAATAGCACAGCATAGTATAGTATGGACATGAATGATGCACTTATGAAAATGCAACCCCAACGGAAACTGATTGCTATCAGATATATAGAATTGGGACCACTACTGAACGTTTTACTCAATACAAGCATATTTACATTCGTGTTCATTCATTTTGTTAGCGATTATTTGTCATTTGTCTACCAAACACATGCAGCTTTATATCTTTTATGCGTGACAAGTTTTGTTTTCATTTCTTTTACTTTAAGGTAAAATCAACTGTGCAGACTGGAGCTTTGCTATGGAAACGGTTCTTGAAATGGAGTTGCCATGGAGAACATTAAGATCGAAATTAGCAGAAACTGACGAAGAAGGCAATGTTTTGTATGAAACTTCATTCGAAACTCTGCAAGTAAAACACCGATATAGCGGGGTATAATATAATTCATTTAGCTTTGCTTGTAAAATTTACTTTAGAAAGACTGTGGTCTTGAGCATATTTTATTTTATAAATTTTAATAACACTGTATTCCTATTTTATCAGTGAAATGAATTTTAACGGCAATGATGTCTAAGCATAGATTTAATCCTTCCAAATGCTTTCTTTATTCTTAATTCATTCATTATATTTTACTATTTGATTGGAGTTTGTAAATGAGGTTTTCATTAGTCTTGATAAAAGAGCGGTGGCCTGATGGTAAAGGTGTTTGCCTCTCAACCCTAGAATCGCAGGTTTGAGCCATACTTGGTTCACTAGAATGTTATCAATATGACACGTACCAGTGCTGGCGGACAAGAGAATTGTTCAAATAAGATTCGAGCTTTGAACAATAACGTACTTAAATGTTTCAACTAAAGAAATATAATACCAACAGATTTATGGTAAATAAATACCAACATATTTACTGGTTTCCTAGCAGTTTCCGGTCACAAATCGCACTTTTTAACAAATAAAATAAAAGTCAGTCTACGGAGGGGTACAAAACTTTGAAAGGACAATGTTAGGTACCTGTCCAGCATTTCCATGTGTTTAATGTTGCACTTTCATTTTACTTTTTAATTTGAATATAGGCCTGAAACGTAACACCTTTTTTCACCTTTATTCAAAAATTCATAGCAGTTTTCCGGACCTTTTTTATTTTGAATATAATTCAGTACCATAAAGCAATGTTAAGATGGTTTTACAAGACAAACAGAACTTCCCAACCTTGTCCGTGTCGTCTGCAAAAATATTTTCCGAAGTATTGATTTACCTAAAATTGGGTTTTAGTTATTGCGCATGGATACTCAAACCAGAATTCCTCAGGTGTTACTTATTTTTGAAAGTTGCAAGTTCTCTATGTAACTTTAAATAACGGGCAAAACTTCAAAGCATATAAATTGTTGTACTATTTTAAATGCTGTTTAGCATAGAAAACAAATATCTCGTACTATTTTAAATGCTGTTTAGCATTGAAAACAAAAGTCTCTCTGATTGACGAAGTAATGCGGATGCCTTACTGGTAAAAATAGACTGTACTGGGCGAAGATGATAAACGGCCAGAAAACTGTTAGGGGACGGAAACTGCTAGGAAACCAGTATGGTAAATAATCGTTCGTTATTTTTATATGCTTTTAGAATGGACCAAGTATTACAGAGACACTATACAGACATAAAGACAGTCTGGAGACAATTTTCCGTATGATTGATACGGATCATTCTGGTAATTTTATATCATTATCATATTATTTCAAATTCATCTCGTGCGTTTGTTCAAAGTATTGTATTTAATTAATATGGTATACGTGTAAACTACACTCCTAACTTATCCTATATTCAGTTCAAACGTGTATTTACAGGATTGTCAACTGATAGGTATTGTCATACAGTGAGAGTGCCCTTTTGTTTTATCCAATTTGTCATGTGATTACAAAATTTGAGAGTTTCAAGACATCTAAAAACTGCTGTAGCTATATATTGCAGGTGTAAAATGCCGTCAAGCGAGTCAAAACTTTATACTAAACAAAATTTGAAATCAAGAATACAGATACACGTATAACAGTGGCATTTATGTGTAGTAATTGATCATTATTAATGAGAAGATTCTTGTCAATGTGCGGTATTCTCTTCCATTGAAAAATCATCATAATAAATATACATGCTGCAAAACATTAACTACATTATGTTTTATATTGTAAACATCTTAAAACCATAACTGTATCACTCGATTTGGAATTCTTAGAGTCAATAACTTGTTTAGAAAAGGCAATAACTTGTTATGTATGCTTTGTTGACCAAGTTTGTGTTGCATTTTACAATTTGTAGAGTTAATTGTACTAATGGAATATAGTTTTGTTTCAAATTTAATCATTTTCAGGACAAATATCAATGCCAGAGTTCGAAGATGCGCTCAGTATTCTAATCAAGCAGCTTGACCTTGCGATACAGGAACGTGACATACGGGATATAGCCGAGAGTATTGACATGAACAAAGATGGCTGCATTGACTTTAACGAATTTCTTGAAGCTTTCAGGATCGTGGATAGTATGGGCAAGGATAAAACAAAAACCTTGAAAACTGAACACAATGCAGAAATTTCGGAGTTACCGGCAATAAGTGAAAATTTAAAAACATAGTCTCTAAGTGCTGAGAAATGAGTAGAGCACAATTGTCAAAGAGCAAAAAGTACATTAGTGATTAAACAAATAACTATTGGATAATAGTTCAGTCATATGATAAAGTGCTAGTGATTGGTAGATAGGTGTTCCCCGGATCGTTTACAATTTCTGTATTATGTAAATAAATAATACTTTCACATAAAAACGTGTTAGAATTAGATCAATGGTGATACAAGTATTAAATGTGTAATACTTATAATGAACAATAGCAACTGTAGATCCGTTCACAACAAACAAATTGTTCGTATAGGGATGCACTTATCCAATATACATAATAAATTAATTACAGTTTATATTTTGTATATACAACATAAGAGTATAACAAATGTCTAAAATATATTTTGTTCATTACAAGAAAGGTGTTCTTTGTTTGGATTTCGTGATAATTCCGTTGTATTACACGAGATCTGATGAGTGCAGCTTTAACAACTGCAATGTCTGGAAGTATATACTATCTGATCTGACATAAAGATGAACTTAACTTGTCGAGGACAATGGTCCAGCTCGCGAGATTGATTTTATACATACTTATAGGTATATAAGCCGTTATTTCATTTGACTTGAAATAGTATCTTACTAATAACAAAAATAAGGCAACACTTGAGTATATTTGATATAAATCTATATTTCAGCCTGAAATTTACACATGTTTAGATAGATATTCATGAAAATTATAGAAATACAGTAGACTGTGCCAGCAAAAATCGTGTACATTACATGCTAAAAACATACTAATACATGTTGGACATGAGAACAAAATTTAACAATGCATTGATTTTAAGATATGATTAAATATAATACGATGTTTTTAATGCAGAATGTGATTGGCATAGTGAAAAGGTATTATGCTATTTATGTGGATCACTTAGGCTACCTGATTTTCAACATCTATTCCCAGTCATATAAACAACATTCGATAATCCAACACAACATTACATCAAAATTCGTATCAGTTATAAATACAAGATGATAAACAAACTCAATGATTAAACCACATAAATTCTGAAATATACATAGCATTTAATATATTGCACTTTTATAACAAGAACTGTCAATTGTATTTCAATATTATAGATCGAGTTCCTTTAAAAATCTTTGTTTGAAACCTAGTAACCAGATTTACAAATATTACCGCAGGGCACACTGCCAAAATGTATATACCAACAAAACCAGTTTCTATATTGCGGTTTTAGCACTTGATTATTTTGATATTGAAACCCTAACTTGTACAAATTCCAATTCAAAGAAAGACAGCCAATAACATTTAGCGGAGTTGGGGTAAAAATTAAGTAAGGGACTCCACTGAAGTTTTCTTACATTACGGGACTGAAAATAATTTTCCGAGAAAGTTTTCTAGACCAATTACTTGTGTGCATTCGCCAAGAGAATAATTAAATATCATCATTGTGAAAAATAACACACAAATGAAAAGCTTTTCATTATAATCGAGCTCGAGCTAAGAATAGCACAAAAACACGATTTTCAATTTATTTCATTGTATATATTCTTTTTATCTTTTGTAGCCTATATCTTAATGTTTTAATGTCTCAGCTGAACTATGTAAGAAATTCAGATAACATGTATTTAGGCTTTTCGACCTCAGTGGAGTAAGGTTATTCTGGATGATAAAATATGTTGACTAAACTGGTCTTGCAACCAACAGGACGACGCCGTTGGGGTTTACAAGCAATTCTAGAATGCTGTCTGGATCCTTTGTTGTCGCTAGCTTGTCTCCTGTGAATCCATCAGATAGCGTATATCCGTTTGATGACGTCAGGCCTACGTCACCAGATCGAACTTTAATCAGAGTTGGATTACCCGTATTGGGTAGCTGGACAAAGGCGAGGGCAAAGGATCCCATTGGGTTAGACAAAGGTTTGGCCCAGACCTCAATTACTGTGCCTTTTACCTAAAATATAACACCGAAAACTAGAAACATTTGAAAATATGTGTGGAAGTCAGACGTCTGTACAAGACATTCACGTCGTGACTTGCTGTAGAATAGGTAACAAATAAGTTGAAATAACCATTCAGATTAAATCTACTGTCGCAGTTACTTAATACCTATCCAATAAAGAGGTTGCACTGTTCTTAAAATCAGCATGCCTCTTGACTCATGCTAATGTTCATGAAAATTTTGAAAATGTATTTAAAAGTAAAATATTGTGAATAGAGCACAGAAAGTAATTTACACATTGCAAACGGCACTTACAATCCAGGTAAATTACCAACAAGTAGATATCTAGTCAAAAAATGCAAAGTTAGCACTTACTGCGTTAGTAACGCAGTAGGAATAGGAATGTGGTGATAAATACTGAAAAATCAGTCATTAATCGCACATAACGTGTAAATTGTTTCTTTTCTTGAAATTTTAGAAAATTATTCTAAGTTTGAGTATCTTGAACTATTTTTGCTCATCTGGAGGCAAATAACATGAATTTAATCAAATACAACGACATTACGATAAATATGTATGTATAAAGGTTTAGTATTGACTACTATTTGTATAGATCTATATACATCTTTATATTGTACATATCTCGAAATTTGTGTTACTTTAATAGGCGATCATTTTTAAAGAGTTTGTATAAACATTATAGCAGTGAGAATGCGACCGGCAATCTGAATTATTATTAAGTTAGTCGAGTTCTGTTTCTGCATTATAACCCAATTTTGATCGAGACTTCCAGCTTTAACCTTTTCCCTTATATAGACGCGTTTTGACGGCTTTTTGCCCCCCCCCCCCTCCTTTTTTTTTGAGGCCTCAAACAGTGAAAAAATGCCCTATTTAGGCCCCAAACACTGTTTTTCATTTGAAAAATGTTGTTAAAAAAGTGACCACTTTTTAGGCGCCGCCAAAATCAAAATGTTACATCAGGGGCTTGCAAGAAGGGAGTTGTGCCCCTTCTGTTTTGGGGATTTGAATGTGGGCGGTAGTCCCCCTCATCGCCAAGAAAATTTTGGACATGTGACAGGCTGAAAATGGCATCAGGTCGATCTTAGGGTAACTAGTAACCGACGCTGAAAATCCTTTTACTCTATCTTAATTCATTGAGAAGTTGCAGCACTTTGAAATCAATTTTGATGGATAAAAAACAATGCAAATAGTGATTTTTCGTTGCCATGGTAACAGAAAATTTACGATTGAGCATGCTGTTACAGAGACTATTGTCCAGTTAACATTTGTGCCAAGTTTCATCAGTATGGAAGCATTTTTCATAGTTTCATAGCAGTTTGAACTTGTAACAGGAGGCTTTTCAATGAAAACGGTCATGTTTCACAATATGTTAATGGGGTAAAAGGTTAAAGATAAGAAATGGCGGTAAAACAATTCAAACAATTCACCACACAATTTTTTTGTACTGTGCAATTAACCATCCTAGTAATATTATTTAAAATAATGCAATCTCATTTGAAGATCCATTACAGCTTTAAAGTACAAAATAAATATTATATACTATTATTATTATTATGTAACAGAAAGAGCATCGAAACACGAGGCTATCTGTTTTGTACGAAGGGGGCGTAGTCCCCGAGTATTAATCAGACTGCCGAGTGTTTTGATGTTCTTTCTCTTTTGTATCATATTCAAACATAAACACACGTTCCCTTCTGTCACAATATGAAACCCAAGAAAAAAGTAAGCAATAAACGAGCATCTGAATATGATATTTCTGTCGCTTTTCCTTTCTCTGCCGTCACAATATGTAAACCCCAGCAAAATAAGCAGCCAATCAATGGGCATGCTCTGGGATGCGGGTAACTAATACCTGCACTCCAGTTATCGCACTGTGCATGTATATGTATACGATATAACTCTGACTAATTTTCAACAGAAAGGTCCCCAAACTATGATACAACTTACAAATGAAAGTCTTCTCCCTTGTATACCGAGTGGATCTTGGTTAATTGCTATAACATGTTTGTTTTGAATCAGGAAATTAAACTCGGCTGTTATATCTCGTAGGTCCACGGATATAATCATGGGTGCCGCCCATATTGCCCACATCGCCATCTGTACTTTACTCTGATCATAACTCAAACCAAAGTTTCCAACCACTATCTGTGAGAATTACAAAATGTGAATATTTATAAGCGTTTTTTTAAGGATTTGAACAAATCAAATCACGGAGACGCTTAATATTAATCATTAATATGATCAATTTGATTAAAATCAGCTCCTAATTAATTAACGCAACGCATGCAAGAAATAATTTAGGTAGCACGTTGATTATCAAATAAAGTGGATGCGTTATCATTCCACATTTTCATTCTCTTACGTTTTAGTTACCATGTTTTAGTGACCATGCGTATATTTGGGATTTTATTTATTTTTTCATTACGCTTTTTTGACATTTTTTTCTTATTTTTTTCTCTTCTTTTTGCATGTGTTTTGAAAAATACTTAAACCTCGGATACTGTTGCACGTGATTGAAGGGCTAAATCATATTTTTCCGTACCATATCCGGATCATTCCATGCGCCGGGTTTTGCATATGAGGAGAAGTTGCCATCATCCATTCCGTAATATTTAATTGTATTCTGTACACTATCCCACGTGTCTTGAATATCATAATGGTTCCGCCATAAATTACACGTCTTTTGAATAGCTGTGTAGTTAGGCTAACAAATTAGAAGAACAATGTAAATTTATTCTTCAAAATAAAATACGTATGAAAATCCTAATTTCTGTCAAAATTCTTATTTCAATCCAACAACAAAACAGTAAACATGTGCAACAATTGTGCAAAACGTTTGCATGTATAACATAATTTAATTACTTCTTATGATAAACTACGTCCGTAAAAATTAGTTTTTAAGTAAATGCTGAAATATGTCTATATCAATGTAAACCAAAGAAGAACATCTTCAGCATTTGACATACTGGTATATAATTTCATTATACTAAGTTCAAATTTCAATATGCCCATACCTTAATCCCGGCTACACTTTGATAGAATGGCCATTCGCAAGAGTAAACCATGGGTCTCCCGGTTTTGTTCAGAAATAAACCAAAGGCTTCATACCCGGCATCGAAATCATGACGGTCCGAGTTGCATCCGTCAAACTTCACATAGTCAACACCCCATTCTGCAAATGTATTGGCGTCCATTTGCAGGTAAAATTCGCTCCCGGGGTAGCCGGCACAAGTGTGGATCCCAAAATCTTCATAAATACCGAATTTAAGACCCAAATTATGAACCTGAAAGTACAAAAAGAAATACATACTAGTACAATAAACAGCTTTAATGATATACGAGTAATAAAAGTAAAATATAAAAGTTAAAATCTCGAAATTTCTCGTAATGTTTCAGCTCAGCATAAAATAAATTTCTTTTTTTTTTGTCTTCATTTACTGTACAGTATAAGAATTTTCCTGACAAGAAAATCATAGTGAGCGAATTTAACAAACAAAATGTATCAGAGTAAAAACGCCGGGATTGTCAAAGGGGCCAAAACATTTTGAAACATAGAAGAGGTCAATTATATCTATGTATTGTACTCTTTTAAATGTGTTAGCCATTAGAAACAATATGACGTACAAAATATTGTTTCTCCCGTAATTATTGATTAAATGATGTGCTAATTATGTTATAAAATATGCCTATCAAATTATCTGCTAATTTAACACTTTTGAAGGTACCGGTATATGATATTGGAATCGATATATACAGTTACGTTACATGACGTCAGTTGAAACAAGATCTGTAAGAAGGTCAAAATGTTCCTAATTATATTGGTGGTGGTAACCAGTGCTATGCGTGCTGCAAGCTTCTGATCTGTCTGACTATACTAACAACATATACATTGATACCCTACACGATCAGTGCTTAGCAATAAGGTGGTGGTGGTAGTTTAACCTGCGGATCACGGCAGTAAGCCACGTTAGATCTACCAGAGCACAGTCCAACCACCACATCATTCCTGGACAAGCTGTCAAGCAGTTTACCAGTACTAGCTGCAGAAATGATAACTTATTGCACTAGAGCAGAGATATAGTGCGAATGACCGTATAAAGGATTTCATGATCAGTCACAACGAAAGTGACCTGCGCCGTCATCACCCGATTCACACTTCAGAGCTAACCGGACGGCCTCCAACGAGATTGAAATTGATGCTGGCCTCTTATACACCCTACTCGGTCGGTGCTCAGTGGGCGTTGCTAACACATGGTTAATAGTCAAATATTTGCTTCAGAGGCATTTCATCTAAAAGTGAGATCTAAAAATCAAATTAATTAACCATAAAAGCTTTTCTATGAATGTGTGAGTGTTTTCTGAGCCTTCCGTTAAAATTCAAATTGATATATTACATAACTGCTTAATGCAAATCCACTTGGAAAGCTGTCGACTGGCTGCACCATTTTCCATTTTTACACCAACAATCATCATCATTAATTACTGTACCAGGCGCACTATAGCCTCTCTTGTCACAAATTTCCATTTGTCTTTAAACTTTCGTTCAAAATTCTGTTAAAAGTACTGCAATATTCTCAATTTAATAATTCCGGCAATTACGTTGGTATTACACGTTAACTTATGATTCTAAGTGGGTCATTTGTAGTCTCACAATTGCCAATCAATTTTCTTGCGATGAGTATCGAAGGTCTACCCAAACATCAAGAAAGGCAAGTATCCCCTTCTGGCAAAATGGATGTAATGTATCTTATTAAATAAGGGGAATCTGAAAAAGTTGGTGCTTTTTTATAAACACACTTCTAAACAAAAACAAGTGTTCTAAATAACATTTTTTTCATAAACCAATTTTGAGAAACAAAAAGGGGTTTTGGTAACAAGGCCCGTTAATAAGGCATTATATATGGTATAATTTATAAAAAATAGCGTTTCTCAGAATTTTCAAGTTTTGAGGCCTTGCATGAAATTAAAATTGATTTATTTACAATAGCGCAATGCACGAATTGCCAAAAGTCCATCTGGCTAAAGCATCTTTCATTTTTTATTTATCTTATTTTTAGCCCATGCCAATAATTAATCTATCATTATCTGGTGATAAACAGCGTGTTAAGCTCTTGTACCATCAAATTTGCCAGTCTTTCTTAGACGTTAAAACGAAAGTAATAAGTTAACATAATAGATAAACTGTGTCGAATATCTAAATACTCAAAGAAATGCGTTAATAAATCCGCAACATTACGCTGTATGATGAAATTATTGCATTAAGTGGTTCTGATGTTAAAATCCCTGCCTGAACAACTTTTAGTATTTGAATATAAGAATATATCTGAACCATATGTTTAAAGCCATATGTATCATTTCTCTCTAAAATGAATGTAAATGTTATCTAATTTGAATACTGTGTAATGTTTCGCGTGAATCTGAAAATCCATGAATAATGTGTGTGATTTTTTTAGAATATAATTTACACATTCAGGTTAAATTCACTTAAAACAATTTAACAACATTTATTTATTGTTTTCATTTAAAAAAAAAAAAACACCTTGTCCAAATTGTTGTATGAAACTGGAGGAAACTAGTAATCCGGGTCTTTTGGTTAACAAGGTAACCCAGACTTTATCGAATTCATTATTATATGAGATATAATTACATATAAAACACATATAGAACTGATAAATTCGTCACATATTTTCAATGTGAAGGATGATGAAGAAGAAGAAGTGAAAAGTTGTATTTTTTAACAAATAGCACAATACACAATTGACAAAGCCATCATAGCTCATAGTCTATCTTTTTATTTATTATTATTATTATCATTATTATTTGTATATAAACATGTGAATTAATTAATACCTAATGCATGTATCTGGTTGATTAAAGCAGTCGGTGTTACAGCGAAATCTTTGCCAGGTCAGCCAGCCCATGGGTGGTGTGAGTGCCAGTCCATTGTCTAGACCCGGAATCAAACGAAGAACTGAAGCTAACACTAATAGATGTTGCAACATTCTAGTTTCTGAAATATCAAGTGGAAAAAAAAAACAAGTAAAAAGTTATAGTGTTAATTACCTTTTAGCGTTTTAGTCAAGTGGCAGTTTCAAAGACTCTGGAGTGCTGACAAGTGAAGTATGTGGCCTACATTATTGTATATGTAAGCTAAAGTTACTATCAAAGGATTTCGCCCTACTTTATTAAGACTTTATTAAGAGTGCATGTATAATCTTAAACACAGAAATGAACAGTTGTGTAACACCCCTCGTTCTCTTTCCACGGAAATACGTTAATAAAAGGAATCGTTTCTATAACTGTGGATGGGTGTATTGCACTATCAGACAAACGAACACTGATATTTTTTCCACAGAATTTATGTACTTATGTGCAACTGCGATATGCAAGGGAGGGAACTCTTGCAAGCTGATCAATTCCGTTATTAGAGTTACTCGTTTCCGTGTTTATAAATACGAAAGTAAAACCTAAATTTGCATGCATTTGTAATAACTATAAAATTTTGACTCGTATAAAAGTAAATAAACGTTGTACTGACCTCGTGTATATCCCGTGAAATGTTAATAGGACTTTTGATAAGTTATCATTTAACAGCAGATCAGATCACATAAACACTTACTCGCTTGTCTGCACACGGCCGTACACCGTTATCATGTGATCGTGAATCAATAGTAAAGAAAGAGACTGATTGGACTAAAACTTAAGAAACGGCCACATTTTGTTTTATTAGCGTGTGTACGTCTGTCTGGATTGTTTTATTGTTAAAAAATAGAATCGAAGCATGAAATTCCTATAGTGACAGTTCCTGTGCTTCCTTTGTTTGTTTGTTTCTTTCTTTCTTCTCGAAGCGTGAGGACACCTTAAGTAGCTCAAGCATATATACATGTATTTATGATTACTGTGTACAGTATTGTACCCGTGCATAAATCATATAATTATATAATAACATGTGCCACTTAAAAACATGCAAACATGGATAGGATCAGATTAATGATTAACTTAAGCTAATAGTATATGGTACTGTCGGGTTCATGTTTAAACTGTGGATCGATCAGTATTATAATAAAACGAAATTAAGTCAGTTATTTAAAACAGATAAAAAAAGATATTTGGTGAAGAAGGATTGCTTCTATAATATATTCTAATCATCATTACAAAGTGACCGTATATCGATCATTAAATAATCTGTCGCATTATTATTACTATTATTGTTATTATTATTATTATTATTATTATTATTATTATTATTATTATTATTATTATTATCATCTCGGCAAATGTCATTTTTAGTTTTTCTTGTCTGAAGGAATTCCATAATTGCTTAACATGACATAATTCACCTGACTCTTCATTTTTAATTTAGTTTCTGTAAAGGCTTATCTTATTTATTAATCTACCAATTTCTAACTGACAAAACTATGAAAATGGCTGTCTCCGTAATTTTCCGTTTCAAGTGTTTCCAAAACTAATTGATGGTTTATTATTCAGTATCTTAAAAGTATGCACCCGGGAAGAATATCATAAATGGCATTATCGCGCTTGTTAAAAAAAATAAAAATGACAAGTTATCATAAATAAAAATAGTTTGATATGTCAGTTAGGCTCATAAAAAATTATCCTTCCTACTTGATATCAGGTATATCTGTAATAAAAGTGTCTGATCAAATGTTTTTTGAGATATCCTTAAATTAAATTATGATAGTCCGTAAATTGTTCTTGAAAGACACATATTAAACATGCTTATACCGAGTCTGTAAATTGTTTATCCAAACGAGATCCATTAACCACAGAGTCAGTTGTGTTCACATTTCACATGATCAGTCATACTTGACCAGCAAAAAATCCAACCATGCTCCGCTAGCAAAACCGTCGTGCATGGTCATCATTATGCGTTCTAAAGACAGGTGCTGTTTACATGTTGCTGCTAATTTCAGACGAGATCACTTTATGAAATTTCTTTAAATAAAAAAGATGCCTTCACACGCGAATATTGCACCTTTGATTTACGGTATGGTACGGTACTTGTAAACGGTATGGTACGGACTAAACAACGCATCGGTTTACTTTTTGAACGACCCTCAAAGAGGAAGTGGAAAATTAAAAGGATGTTCAAGATTACGCATGCGTAGACTATTATACAAAATGGCCTCCAAAACAATGTTTTTATTGTGATAGTTAGTGAGTCATTTTCTACGTTTTACCGTATTTTCTGGCCTCAAAATGACGACGATTATTGATATAAATGAAGGCGGAATAGACCCACAAGTAGAAGTTCAGAAGCTACAGGATTTAGTGAAAAAATTAGAAACTCAAAACGAAGTGCTCAGACGAAAGCAAAAACTGTCAACCTCAAACGATTCAAATATAATTGAAAACAATGATAATGATGTGTTAAAACCTGCATTAAACAATAGTGTATTCTATAAGTCAAGAAAACATTCTGAGAAACGTGATATATCGCTCATAGGATCTGAAAATTTAGAAGGTGTTGAATTAATAGATGTTTCTGCATCAATTCCCGAGGATGAGGATTCTTGGTAATTTGTTTACAGATTATTTATGTTGATTGAATAGTTAATGAACTTAAATTAAGTTTGCATTATTAAATTTACACCAAGTAGAACTCATAATCAATACATGCATGCATTATTTTGTTTCTGTCAATTTGCAGCACGCAGATAGAATCAAAAGAATCTGGGTCAGCTCGGCCCTAAAACGTACTCGGCCCCAAAACGTACTCGGCCCCCGAGTCAGCTCTGCCCTATTCCAACTTGGCATGGGTCAACTCGGCCCACTTTTTAATTATTTAATTATTATTGTATAATTATATAATAATAAGATATTTCTTATTATTCATTTACCTTAACAACATGCAAAGCAATGTTAATACGTTATATATATTTTTGTAAAGTGGGCCGAGTTGACCCGTGCCGAGTTGGTATAGGGCCGAGTTGACTCTTTTCCGAATCAAAATATGTTCAAATTTTCAAATCAAAAGGAAGTAAACCATCAATTGGTAATATAACAATTCAGCCCGCTTTTGTGATAGTATGCCCATTGAAGGTTGTGTGCTTTAAATGACGACATTCCTTGCGACTTTTATGAAAGATTTACATTCGTTGGACAACATCGTGAATGAATGAAGTTGTAATTTCATAAGCTACTGTAACTCACTAACAGTAAAAAACAAGTGCTGCATAAAATTATTAGATGCCATAATTTCTTTTCTAACTATGATAATTGATTTATATCTAATATGCAAGAAAAAAATCAAACACCAGCTGTCGTCAGTGAAGGGAATATCTAGCTTTCTGGCAACAGTAAGTAGTTACATGGAAACTTGACAGTGCCTTGTCACCACTGTAAAAATTACCCTCAAGCTAGTTATTCTGGTGGGTAGCGATAGCCAGTATAAGATTGTTATATTATTGACTGATTTTACAAACTTGGGGATAAACTATTTTTCTTCTTTTGCAGGCTATACACATCACCTCGACCTCCAACACCTCAACAACACAGAGTTAGTCCTTATAAATACATGAGACAAGATTTAGACAACCCAAGTCCGGATGTTCAGTCTGCCAAACGATCCCTAAAATATAGATTGGATGAAGCTGCTAGAAGTAAGTATATGCATCTCAAAAACTGCAAGTCTTACACCATATTTTATAGAATTATAATTACAATATCATTTCTGAAAATTTGTTTGATTTAAATTACCGATATATATTGATAATATGTGCATAAATATTTTATGTAACTTTGTAAGTGAAGAAGCCGCACTGAAATAAAAAAGTTTAAATTTAAAAAACATAAAATATGAAATTTTTACATCTATAGATAAAGTGAAGCACTTAAAAAGTTAAAATGGAAAAAAAATTTGCACACAAGTTATTTTTTTAGACCTGCAAATTGGTACACAAATTTTGGGAAAAAGTAAATTGTATTAAACATCACATTTTAAATTACACTATATGCAAAGTGTCATGTTAATACGCAATAAATTATAACGATACATAATTATGACATACATGTATAATATATATTAATTTGTATTCAAATGTAAAATGTGCGTCTCCATTTAATGAATTATACCATATTAAGATATAACAGCCAAAGATATATATCTCTGTAAAGTTTGCTAGCAGTACCAACCCAAAATTTTGGTACAGATTTTTTATAACTTTTATAAATTTGCTTTGTGCAAATGTTACTATAGTGATATAGAAAGTAGAGTTTCACTAAAATTGCATATTAAATCTTAATGAGAAAAAAAAGCCTTATCTGAAACTGCAATATAAAGGGATAGAAATGTGTCTGTTAATGCTTGAAGTTGAAAGATATAAGTCACTAGCACTATGTAAGGTGGATAGGTACTAATTGTAGGCCTTTTCTATGTTGGTGTATTTTAATACCCTACAAAGAAAAAAATGTAAATTTAATTTCTATTTTAACTGGACCTAGTTTATGTACATATTTGTGAAGAAGGAAGTTCTTATAAATACTTCACATGAATATTGAGTTTGTTTGATTTTTCTTAAGTATAAACTTTGAAATCTTTATCTTTCAGTAAGTCGAAGCAGTAGTACCCCTGCTTTTCAGAATTACAGTACACCTCAACGTAACAATGGTACAACTATGAGCTTGTCTGCAGATAGCACACCATCTCCTAGAATCATGAAACCAGCTGCTATTGCTAAACCATCTCCTATAGCTCATACTGGTATACAAGGTAAGAAGTTCTAAACAGGTAGCTTCCATGGAAAACAGGTTAACATGTATCTTCCATGGCAAACAGGTTAACATGTAGCTTCCTTTGCTGAGGGGTAAACAGGTAGCTTCCATGGCAGACTGGTTAACGGGTAGCTTCCATTGCAAACATGTTAACATGTAGCTTCAATGGCTGACAGATTAACAGGTAGCTTCTATGGCTGCCTCATTAACAGGTAGCTTCTATGGCAGGCAGGTAACTTCAATTGTAGATGAGTTAAGTTTGACTTAAAGTCACTAACACCTCAGATCTATAGGTTTAGAATCTCACTAGAAATGGTTAAGTGGTCCTCCATGGCAGAGTGGTTAAGATCTCCATCTTGAAATCTTTTACCCCTCTTTGCTGTAGGTTCATAATCACCCAGTAATTTTGGATTCTTTCATGTGAGGAAGCTTTGAAGGTAGCTTATGTAATGATGACCAGTGGTTTTACTCTTGTGCATGTTTATGCTTACAGTACAAATGTCATACAGGAAGGGGCACCTGAGGTCTCCCTCCACCAGTAAAACTGGAAAGTCACAGTATGACATTTAAAGTGCCAGTGTGACAAAAAAATGTTTAATTCATTTTAATGAGGAAATTATACTGCTAGTGTAAAGTCAATAGTTCTATTCTGATACCTATTAGTCAAGTGCATGATATAATATATAGAGGGGAATTTTAGGTCTTCATCAGAAAAGCTGGAAAGTAACTGTGTATCTGTGACAGTGTTGGTGTGACTTAAAATCCAATCCAATCTCTTCATATATTTTTTGTAATCAATAAAGGTTTTTTAAGCACTTGAAAAGTTGGTTTAGTTTTACCATCATAACAGGTTATGTCTTTGTTACAGGAAGTAGATTAAATACCGGCACATTTACCAGGCCAAAGAAAACCAAGCCTTCCACGATGGACACCTCCATGTCGGACGATGTGAAAGAAAACTCGGAAGCTGTCCATCATCAGAATGTGGCCGATATTGAAAATCTTGCTAAAATGCAGGAAGAGAGTTTAAGACAGAGTATTGCCCAGACTTCACCAAGACGAGGTGAGCTTTCTGCTTCATTCTTTTAGTATCATGCTATTAACAACACATTATATGACTAATGTTATGAGAAATATTTATTTGATTATACATAAAAGAATTAACATACATGTATGAATGGTGTGCATATGTTATAATGTATGATATAGATTGCACATAATTATTATATATAGAATTTTTCTCTAGTCTGATTTAACTGTGAGGTTTTACTAACAAGTAATAAAAATGTTTTAAATGAAATTTTTGTAAGCAGATTGACTCATTCATAAAATAATGCAGTTACTTTTTCCACAAAAAGTGTCTGTCCTAGTTGTATATCAAGTACATGTACATTTGCAGTATAATTGAATTATATTGTATTTATGAGATGTGTATCTGTAACATGAGATCATATGTAGAGTGAATGGAGTGATAATTCTCCTGAATTATTAATATGAAGTTGCTGTAGATATAATGAGGTCGTTTTCTTGCTTGTTAATGTTTTGGACGTTATTCCCTGTAGGATTTAGATCACGTCCTTTGCCTAATGTAGCTGCCTCCAACAATACTGATAGTAATAGCGGGTCACCGGGTGACTCGAATAGATCTAGTCCGGCCCATTTTGACGGTAAGATTGATGTTGTATCCTGCATGTTGTTAGACAACAGACAACGGTTATTGGAATGGCCTTGATATTGTTACTGTATTATTAATAATTATTATTATACTAACCATAATTGTTATTGGTAATTTCCGGTCTAACTTATAAAAAATGTTGCATTAACAGCAGACGCATGTGAATTTTGAATTTGGTTATCGGATCAACTGTTTGTAGTATTGGATGAACGCATGGAAAAATTGAGATGTTGCATTGAAGCTGGTTATTGGAAACATTGATGTTATAGATGTATGCTAATATTATCAGCTGTTATTGGTTCATGTGTGTATATGTGTATTGGCCGATATGTGAACAGGGAAATTGGATAAATGTATAGAAAATATTAATTGTTCTATCTAAGCTGGTTATTGGCTCATCATAGGTGCTTTTATAACATGTATATGTGATCATTATTGGCTATTAAAGCTGTTATGATATATCATAATGGCACATCTGTAGTACAGTATGGTGAATGCACATCTATTGTACAGTATGGTGAATGCATGAAAACTTTGTAATGCTACATTGTAACTGGTTATTGGAACATCATTTATTTTATGTTGCAAAATATACTAACATTATTGTAAGCTACCCGCTTATTTATAATGTCCAGTGGTACAGTTAGATATATGCATCGCCATGGAAGATTTGTCAAGAAATACTAGCTCTCTGATTTGTGAATATAACAGCCATTGTGCACTGTTTACCAAATGAAAAAGACAATTTCTGAAGTTGTCATGAACCTTTGATCTTTATCTTTTAATGCTAATTAGTTCTCTGGTAGATCTCTGGTAGAGGTCATTCATAGATACTTGCATTCTGTGGTCATGGTCTTGCAAAACAACAACATTTTATGTTGCAAAGTAACTAACATTACATAGCATGTAGTTTGTAACATTGTTTATAGTTACAAATGTATGCTGTTTGTAAAGATGCATGAATAATGGTTATTTAGTTCTTCATAGAAACAGTGTTAAAATGTTGTACATGTTAATGGAGACATTATTTAAAATGGTGGTGTTACTGTGTAAACTTAAAATAAGTATATTTCATGTTATTGTAATTTGTATAGAGTAATATGTGGAACAATTATATAACAGATATACTTTATCTGCTTTACATGGAAATGATGTTCTTGCATTTATAACATTACAAGCATACATCCTGTCTACAAAAATATTTGTATATTTTGTTCAAACCATAAAAACGCCATTGTCAGCTAATGAGGTAAAAAAAAAAAAAAGCTTTGTATATTTTTATTTTTCGCTCCAATCTTACATTCCTGTTTAGGGATGTAGGCATAGCACTTTTTAACTCTCGTCAGGTCTACCTCCTGGGTTTCTAAGCAGAATTCACCTGAGTGTGAATTGAAGTGGCCAAAAGCCAATTTCATTTTAACTGGGATTCAAACCTCTGATTTAGGAGCCTAGTGCAATTCTGGTCACACAAATTTTCTACTTCAATTATCATAATAACAATCTGGGTAAAATGTTCAATTACTTATATTACAAAAATATTGAAGCCAATTAGAAAGTAACAGATCAATTGGAGATTATTTTAATAAGGTCTCAATAATCTTACTTCAAAAAATATTTCTGAGCCATAATAACACAGGAATGTTTCAGATATATGTGATAATGGATTAATGGATTTCTTATCAGTTATTCTCTGTGTTGTTTCATGAAAAAAAAAAAACATACTTTACTTGTAATGGCTTTAAAGTATAATGCATTTAAAATTATTTAAAAGTAAGCCTTCTCAATTTGAAATCCCTTGTTTAAAAGTAGCACCTTAAATATTATACAATATACAAGTTAATCTTTATGATAAATGTTTGTGTTTAGATAAACAATAAAACACCATTCTCTGTAAAAACAGATTATCTTAAGTACATGTATATGTATTCAATGCATATTATATTGGAAAATGTAAATAATAATCTACATGTATATTCTCACATTTTATGAGAGATAAAGATTATGTCTGGGTAACAGATTTGTAATAACTAACATGCACAGTTTGTTTGATCTAAATAAATCTATATATAAAACTGAAAAGATCATTTAAATATGGTATTTGTCTTAAAAAGAGGATTTATATAAAGTTTTTTAGACAAGGGAAATTCCATTAAACTGGAATGGCGAATTGTTTGGTGAAAACTTGGAAATGTTTGAAATCCATTAAGTCTTGTTGCTGAATCGTACAATATAACACTTAAAAACAGTATCTTGAGTGACTGTGTTGAATATTTAAACAAAATTTAAAGATTTTTCTCATCAGGGAATTACATTTTTCTCTTTTTTAGCAAAATTTTATCACTCTGGATACTTGATAGAACATGCATATGATATTAATGGTCAGTCTATAAAATACCTGAAATTATTAAATTTTGTTAATGAAAGAAAATGCCTTGGATGTGTGTAAGAGTCACATTTATTTTAAACCTTAGTTTGCTGGTAGCAATTGAATCTACCCATACAACCAGTGCAGACCAAGATCAGTTGTCACATCCTGGCACTGTCAGCTGATAAGTGAACAACAACAACATTTAATTAGCATAGCTTTAATCAGCAAATACAAATAAAAAAAGTTAGCATCTGAAGCATAGGGAATGAAATTCAATTCTCTTTCTGTTGCAAAATGCAGAATATACATATTTGCTTAAACCAAGTAATTCTTTATGTCATTACCTGTACATATTTTTGTGTCGCCTCTACGGAGTAGTGGCGACATATAGGGATCACTTCTCCGTCGTCTGTCTGTCCGTCTGTCTGTCTGTCAGTCCGTCCGTCACAAAACTTGTCCGGACTACTCCTCATAAACTACTGGTGCAATTTCATCCAAACTTTACAGGAATGATCAGTACCAAGTCTAGTTGTGCATATTGTCAGCATTTTCCGGTTCAATGATTTTTGTCAGAGTTATTGCCCTTTAAAAATTTTAATTTTAAAGCTTGTCCGGACTACTTCTCTTATACCACTAATGCAATTTCAATGAAACTTTACAGGATTGATCTGTAGCTCAAGTCCTTGCGCATATTGCACGGATTTTCCGGTTGAATGATTTTTGGCCGAGTTATGGCCCTTTGATAAAAAGGTGTTTTTTTTCTGTGTGTTGCCAGATACACAAAAGCTTGTCCGGACTACTCCTCATAAACTACTGGTGCAATTTCATCCAAACTTTACAGGAATGATCAGTACCAAGTCTAGTTGTGCATATTGTCAGCATTTTCCGGTTCAATGATTTTTGTTTGAGTTATGGCCCTTTAATAATTTTTATTTTTAAAGTTTGTCCTGACTACTTCTCTTATACCACTAATGCAATTTCAATGAAACTTTACAGGATTGATCTGTAGCTCAAGTTCTTGCGCATATTGCACGGGTTTTCCGGTTGAATGATTTTTGGCCGAGTTATGGCCCTTTGATAAAAATGTGTTTTTTTTCTGTGTGTTGCCAGATACGCAAAAGCTTGTCCGGACTACTCCTCATAAACTACTGGTGCAATTTTATCCAAACTTTACAGGAATGATCAGTACCAAGTCTAGTTGTGCACTGTCCGTCTGTCTGTCCGTCTGTCACAAAATTTGTCCCAACATGAAATTGGCCATCATGAGGCGACACATGTGATTACTGATCGCTCTTGTTAAATCTTATTTAAAAATGATGATCAGATAAATGGTTTTACCTTAGGTTAGAGATGGGCAAGTCTAGTTAAGGTATTTAGTATGGTAATGGTTAAACTGTCCTGAATTGCTATATGTATACATGAATAGATAGACAATGCATTAATTAGTGTTACATGCCATAAATGAAAATACAGTCAGCAAAATATAATGATATACTTAAATATTTAATTATGAAAGAGGCTTATTTATCTTTTTTCATTTTTATAGCTGTTGAGTAAGTCTGAGATGGGATTGGTATGCTGTTAAATATGAAGTACTTAATGATATATTTTTGTAAAAGTTCATGTGTCCTAGTGAACATTAAAAGTTTTAAATCTAATTAAACCTTGGCATTCATATTTTTATTCATCGTCATTTATCTAGAGTAGATAGAAAATGTTTATTATATTATGCCTTTGATAATTGCTTGCTTAATGTATATAGATGCAAAAGGAATGCAAAGATTGGTACAATTTATTTTTTACCTAAGTTTCTGTCATGATTATTCATTGAATAAATAGCATGTATTGTTTTGTCAAAATAATTCATTGGAAGAGTAAAGGTAAATTTTGACTTTGAACTGAATAAAGTCCAATGAAATACATCTGTAGTACAAAAGACAGTTAAAAGAAGGCATGTAAAAATGTTATTAATCCTATTTCCTAAAAGACAGAACAGAAGAGATAGTGTTAATAGAATGAAAGTGGAAGGTAATGGATAAGAACAAAAGCATGACCAGGGGAAAAATGTAAAAATGGCCTAAATTCACAGATATCCTTATTTCACGGGATAATATGGTAGAATCATCTGGGGTATTCATCCACCAGTTTTCATATAGACATATAAGCAAAATAAAAACTGCTCAATAGAATTTCTTTAAACTTGGCATGTTATTAGAATATGATAACAGAAACATTTTAAGTGGAAAAAAATTGGGAGCTATCTGCCTTTAAATTGGACTTTTTTTGCTATTTAAGGGCAGATAATTTACAATGACGGGAAAACAATACCTTATTTTTTGTGTCACCTCTACAGAGACTCTCAATATGTTTCTGTTATCATATTCTAATAATATGCCAAGTTTAAAGAAATTCTATGGAACAGTTTTAATGTTGCCTATATATCTATATGAAAACTCCTGAAAATGTAAGTAAGTGCTTAAAAGTTACCATGTGACTATAAGTGTTGGTATCAAATGTAAATGAATAGATTGTTATAATAAAACAAAACCATTCTGGTCATGCAAATAATTTCTCTCGAGGCATCATAAATGGATGTTTGCTTTTGTATCACAAAGCTTTAAGCAAATTTAAAGGACACACTGCGTTATATTTTACAGAGGGATCATACAGAAGAAATAGTCAGAATTCAGTAGAGTCTGACCACAGCAGTCCCCCAGACAGTCCCTATGGTAGTAACCAACATCTACATGTACAAAACTCGGGTAAGTTTCACCAAACTGTGGGCCTTTAAAAATTTCATGTTGGTTTAAATTATTTTCTCATATAATTTTTCTTGAAATTGATTTCTGCCTCTTTTCATGATGTTTGAAGTCTATATTGTATTAACATTGGGAGAAAGTGTCTATGAAAAGAAACATTGCAGGTTTCCTTATTTAATATGTGCATTAAAGGGCGGCTTCCTCCCTTGGAAATTTTTTTCCCTTTAAATTCATTTTCATCAAGATTTTTCTTCCCCTATGCAAAAAATTTTTGTTCCCCCAAATTTAAAAGAGAGTCTCCTTCCCCTGCCTTTAAAAAATGCCTTGCATTTAAATGCTTGGTGCTTCAAGTACAGATTTCTAATAGTCTGAGTTCTACTTAGTCAAACTCAACTTCTAGCCCTTAGAAACATTATAAGCTCAAGAGTTCATCCGAGTATAAGGAAATATTGGATTGGCAAAGTTTTGCCAGTGTGAAGGAACATTGGTTAGGTAAAGTTTTGCAAGTATGTGAAAACATTGATTAGTCGAAGTTTTCCCAGTATGAGGAAACATTATTTAGGTAAAGTTTTGCCAGAATTATCATTTATTATGGAAAAATTGCCAGTATGAGGGGAACATTGATAAGGTAAAGTTTTGCTGATATTTGGTAAAGTCATGTTAATATTAGGTAAAGTTTTGCCAGCATGAAGGGACAAGAGTTACAAACTTCAACAAATACATAATTTATAAGTTCTATAATACTACTTTAATTAAGTGTTAACTTTACAAAACTTTCTAAAAGAGAGAACATTACATAATAATTGTGTCATTACTAAATAATGCAGAGAATTGTAACATATACTTTTTTCAGGTGTGTCAAGTTTACGTGGCAGTATGCCTAATATGTCCCGTTTAATACCCAGAGGTCAACATTATAATAGTGATTCAAGTTTAGCTGATTACCAAACACAGACGGAAGAACAAGCTATAAATAATGCAGAACCTCCACGATATACCAGGTAACATAACTGTCTTTTCATGCCGAATAACTATTTTACATAAGCCCATGCCATATTTAGGTTTTTTCATTCATTAGGTAATTCTTACCCCAGATTGTTATATCTACATACTTCGGTAAGCATACTTTTTAGGGGGCGTCCGTGGCCGAGTGGTTAAGGTCGTTGACTTCAGACCACTTGCCCCTCACCGCTGTGGGTTCGAAATCCCGACAGGACTTGGATTCTTCATGTGAGGGAAGCTTACTAGCAGGCTTACGGAATCGTAGTGGTTTATACTCAGTGCCCTGTTCGTGCCTGAAATAATGCGACGAAGGCACCTAGGTCTGCCTCCACCAGTTAAGAGCTGAACGTGCCAAATGACCTGTATAACTTTGTTTTGTTCCTTGTGACGTAAAACCCAATCAAAAAAACAAACATACTTTTTAGTAATTAGGTATGCAAAATGTAAACATATTTTATATACTGTTTTTAGTAGGATACAAAATTCAATGGGACGACCATCATCTCCAAGTGTGAGTGGTTTAAAAACTCCTCAGAGGAATATACGAGGAGGATCCCCACAGAGAAACAGTGGATTACCAACCCCTCGACGTTCTATACCCAGGCCAGGTAGCGCAGGACTCCCGCGACCATCGGGCGTCCCTTCACCTAAAAGGTAAATTTGAAAAATATGACATGGTGTTGATGAGTATTCTGAGGTCATGGTTTTATAGTTAATCAATTTGATTAAGATGGTGTTATTCTCCTTTGGACTAAAAAATAGTACCAGCGGAAAAGACTCAACCTACTGCTAGTGATAGTTTTCTCCTGTGAATTGTTCTAGGATCAACAGCTATTGTTCTTATCCAGGGGTTGGTGTCACACTTTAATTAAGTTTTTGCATACAAGTTGGTACAGTGTATCTAAAAAAACTGTTGAAGGGATGTGGTTCAAACTTCATACACTTGTTGCCTGTGATTCATAGAGATGATGGGCTCAGGTTCTATATACCTGAGTTACCTTTGTACAGAGTTATGCTCCTGTCAAGCACTAAGAACAGTGGAGGACACCGTCTTAAGAACAGCTCTTGTTCAATCAATAGTAGCCCAGAGAAAATGCTTAAAAAAACAGCTATAATCACACATCTTTGGAAGACCTTGTTCTTGAATGAAATTGTTTACAATAATGATTTTCCTTTTGGAAAGGACCTGCTCAATATGAATTTTTTTGTGATAAAATTAACAGATTTGAGGAGTGGATTGGAGTAATTTTAGTACTAAAGAAACGATTCTTTTATTTTGACTGGCTAAAAAAAGGAGAAATCACTGTCACTGTTCCATGATTTAGCCAATGAACGATTGAGTAGTCAGTCAGTAATTTTTCATTCCTAATAATATAATGGCAATGACATAAGTTTTAAAGCTGCTTGTTAAATATTACTAATTATTACTATTATAATTTCAGAATATCTGGTCTACCAGCACCTCGACTAAGTCAAGCAAGACCTAAAGATGAAAGCTGGAGAGAAGGCTGTTTTTAAAATGACTTTATTTCATACTAGTGAAAATGCTGCTTAGGACAGAAAGCTGTTAATTTGAGAATAGTGTTGTCTCCCCTTGTATCGATGAATTAGGAGTGGTTAGTGCTTTATGCCTTAGCTACACTGTATCAGTCAGCTGTTGAGATGAAATCGCTGACTAAGCCTTTTATTTCACGGTATCTGCTCGCTGAAATTTAGTAGAATTTAGCAAGTAGACGAAGATGGTGCTGCTATCCTTAGATTTTGTGTTTTGATGTCTGGTTAAAATAATTGAAAATCAGTGTTTCCAAGTATATAAGTGGGAATGATTTTCATCAGTGTAGTAAAAGGAAAGTTGAATTGACAATCATAAAGTCCTGAAGGCTAAATTATCATTGTAATGAATGATATTTACCAATGTCTTTATTTTATTTTGTATTTTTACTGGGTATTTTGTGAGAGGATATTAGGAAATATTTGAAGATTAGATGTTATGATAGGCATGTAATTTTTATTTTGAAGACAACTGAATGAAAAATCATTTTAACATGAATTTGTTATGATTTTGTTGCAGGTTTTTCATAAATAACTCCATGAGCACTTGTTTGGAGATATTTTCTTACATAGGAAAAATTTAATTCCTGTAAGATTTGTAAAGTTCTACTAGTCTGTTGTGTTATATTGATGGGGTGGGGGTTGGGGGGTAAGGGACAAAATGTGTATATGTATACTATATTAGTGTAAGGAAGAAAAGAAAGAAAGAAAGAAAGAAAGAAAGAAAGAAAGAAAGAAAGAAAGGAAGGAAGAAAGAAAGTTTGGAGAGAGAAAGAAAGAGGAGTGAAGAAAGGAAAGTTTGGAGAAAGAAAAAAAGAAAGATTTTCCATTAGAGAATGGTGCATGTTCTGGTAGACATTAATTTATACATATGATATATAAACCTTTAGAATGATTCACCAAAACAAATGTATCTTCACTGTCAATTATACAAAATCTTGCTAGTTTAGGGGATTTTTACCATTGTATATGCATATGTGGACATGGGTTGGCTTAATAATAATTTATGAATTGTACCTTTTTCATGAGATCATTTTATTTTTTATAGGAGTATCAGCTGCCATTATTTCATTGCAACAAGTGTGACATTTATTTATTCATTTCACCTGTTATCTATATGGGTTAAATGTTTTGTGTTCTTAAAGCTGTATCAGAACATATTGGCAAGGCTACTTTGTAAAGTACATTGCTAGGTAAGCATGTACATTCAAGATGATGGGTTGTCATTTTACTATTGAAAATCTGGTTTTAGTATATTTGTTATCAAAATCATGTTGGTTTACCAGTGAGTAATTTCAAATTCAATATAGAAAAAATAATGTAAAATAACTAAAATTTGCCTGAAAAACAATTCTTATCAGAATATAAGAACATTTTTAAATAAAGCCTGTGTGGAGATAAAAGAAAATTTAACTTGTGTGTTAAAACAAAGTTTATGTAAGTGCATCAGTTCTTAGTCCTTTAAGAAAAGGTGTTATTTTGATTTTAAACATATGTTCTGTAGACTTAATGAGGGTCCATCAGCCCTTTCAGAGTATGGACCCTGTGATTTTAAACAAGTTGAATGTTAGCTTTTATAATGTATGCTTATTTTTTGCTCTGAAGAATAAATGAAATTATCTCTTTTAGGCTTTTGCTAATTTAATTAATTAACATGTTGCTAATGACTACAATAAGAACAGATTATGTTTTAAAAATGATTTTGACTTTCATTATGAAGCCAATGAAACAAAGTATTGATGATTGATCAACTTGTGTATTAATTATACTTCTGTTATGAAGATGATTTTTGTTTTTATCTCTAATTATGACATAAATGATAATGTTCTTAAGTGACAAAATTGTGTTAAATTATTAAGATATGATTGTCTTACATGTGGTATTTATTTTGTTGAAATATAAATATGGTGTACAATTAAAATTGTAATAAAGAGCCACCTCTTTAAAACAGCCATTAAGTTACCCATGCTTAAAGAGGCAAAATTTTACTTAAAGTGGCACTATTTTCTTTGCAGTATTGACTGTATGCCATTAAAAAGCATAAATGAGTTCATTTCCTCAAGTAGATAGATATTTTTTAACCAGGAGACTCTATTAATATTATAACCATATAATTTCATGATGATATTTATTAAATTTGTATATCAAACAAGAATATATAAGATGTTTGTATGCTAGAAAAGCTTATTTCAAGTGATTTAATAATGTAATAATGTTTATGAGACATTTTATAATATAAAGAAACAACCTTTATTACTATGTACATAATAAAGTTGGGTGAAAAATTATCAAAGTATATACATACTGACTATAGAACAGTGCAGACCAATATTGGATGACATGGGTGTGGCAGCTGATCTTGGTCTGCACTGATTGGTTGGGATAGATTTTGTACGCCCATTAGGGAGGAGTTAAATAGTCACCAGAATGATGATCATTGTCATTCATGTACCTTTATAAGTAAACCATATTTTGTTTTTGGTATGCCGTTACATTCTTATAATAAGAATTATGATGATGCAATAAATGCAAGAAACTTATGTCTGGCCTTATTTATGCTGCTGTATCAAATATACATTTAATAAGGGTCTCATTCTTCATTGATAAAAACCAACCAATATTTTCTTCTTTTTTTGAATAAAGTTTTTGCCTGACATACAATTTATATAAAAAAAATGTTGGAAATATAATTTTAAAAAGACAATTTTTGTTTTACACAGAATGATTTTAGTAAGGTGCAGTTTGAAAAATCTTTATTATTGTTATGTAAAAAAGCAGGCTTTGGGATGTACACAATTTTGTAATGCAGAAAATATATAAATTAGAGAAAGTTTTTGAGAGTAAAAACATATTATCTTCTTGACAAGTGAGCTAATTTGTATTTTTCATTGAGTGTAAAGAACAAGTGAAATATGGAAAATATTTTTCACTTCAGTCATATATTCTGAATCAAATTTAAGGAATTACGAATATACTGACTCTCTATTCATGCTGATAGTTACAAGAGATGCTTTTTGTCAACAAAAAGCATTTTAGTTCATGGAACATGAATTTTATCTCATTTGTTATATGAATATTTTCATTAACGAGCCTAAAAGCAATTGTTTTGTTGTTGTATTTTATTATTTTTATTACCCTGAATATTTTATCTGTATTTTTATTTTGCCAGTTTACTGATCACCATTCCGTTCCTTTCAACTTGTTTTATGTAAAATATTTTTACAAGTATTGTGTTGAAGAAAAGAAACAGAAAGATCAAGTTATAGGTCTGTGTAGTGTAAAATTCTTATCTCTACCATGTTCTGCTGTGAAGAACAAAGCACTGTTCTGGATATAAAGCACATTTTTGATAACTGATATAAGGTGACCCTTCAAATGTTGAAATTTTTTTTATCAGGACATTGTTTTTTCTTATGCATATTTCAGTCTGTTTTTTGATGATGTTAATAAATGAATAAGTTATTCATTTGAGGAATCATGAAAGAAATTAATTGTGAATTTTATATTGTCAATGGTTGGAAATGTTCTGTTACAGAATTAATTTTTGCGAGAGTTCATCACTTTGTTTAAGGCCATTTAAGACCATGTCATCTCCAGGAACCTCTATCCTTTACTTTTGTATCTTCTAATTGATAATCTTTTATGGAATGGGTTTTTGTTTTTACCAAAAAGTGTTCAAATTTTGTTATTTGAATGAAGATAATATTTTACTTTATTTTTTTTTATTTTTCAAAAACGATTTTGAGATTTTAATGAAATTTGAATCAGTTTATTTTTAAATTAAGGTTTTACTCTACATATGGGTTGATATACCAAATATGTAAATAATTTTAAGATTTATTGTCTCATTTTAAGTTAGATAATGGATTCAAAGAGATTTTTGTTATAATTAGTAAGGTTTCAAAATATAGCTTTATTGCTTATCGACAAAGCTGATTTGATTAGAAATAAGACACACCCTTAATTTTAGAGAGAAAAAAAAGTCATTATAGATTTTATTCTCGGTGTTTTTACAATGTATCTAGAGAGAAAAAATATTTATGTCTTTAAAAATGATTTTATTGAGTTCTTTTTATTGATATTGTAAACCCTGGGGATTGAAGAAATAAATATTGATTTTAGATGAATATTCAAATGCAATGCATGTGTAATCGTACCTATCTCGAATTCATTACATTTTGGCTGTGCAAAGCTAGAAGCTGTTCAGAATATGCAGTCTAACAAAATCTGTTGAGTTCCTAAAATCAGAAATTTTGATACCAGATTTTCTAATGTAAATGGACATGTCCAAAGTCAATGCTAACAAATCTATTAAGTGATTTACCAAGAGAAGCATCAACTTTTTTTGCATTGTTAACTGGCGTGTTTAACTACAAGCCACATCTGTTACTATTTTAAGCTTACATGATCATATAGGCTATTACTATTTTTAGCTTACATGAGCATATAGGCTGTTACTATTTTTAGCTTACATGATCATATAGGCTATTACTATTTTTAGCTTACATGAGCATATAGGCTGTTACTATTTTTAGCTTGTTGTCATGATTAAATGTAAATTGTCCATCCGTCAGCTGATAATAGTTTCATTTGACACCTCTGGTGGTTACCTTTATTGTTTGTTTAAACTTATTGTTATGATACAATGTTTGTATTTTTTTCTGAGAAAATATGGCCGTCACAGCCCATCATTTGACTAAAGCGTTCTTTTTTTAATGATACATATTCAAAGATTACTTTAAAAATATCTGTCAGGTAAAACTTAAAGTATCCATTTGTACAATAGAGCATCTCTTTTTACCTACCTTTCAATCATCTCTGTTCAATTATCTCTTTTAGTTTGAAATTATGTTAAGGAATTCTTTCATATTGAAACTTGCAAATGACAGAATTTCGTGTTTTTAACTTTTAAAAATCTGATATAAAGTCATTATGCTGTCAGTTCGAAAATTTTATTACTGGATGAAATAAACTTATGAAGGGACATATATCATGCATGCATTGCATTTGAATATTGAAAAGGGATTAAGCAGGACGTTATGTTGACATGTTCTGTTCTATTTCCTTTCCTTTAGCGTGCTTTAAGTATTGTTTAATTTAATTTTTACATCATTGTTTTTAAAACATGACATGTTATATTGAATGTAACATAATAATCTTAATAAAATTTTAATACTGGATTCATTAGTTATAATTTATTTCATAATGACCTCAATACAAAAAATAGTTCAAAGAGCTTGGTTAAAAAATAGAATACTAACATTTATTCAAATGTGATCAAGCCATCGACAAGGTGTTGTCGCCATAGGCAATGTGCAAAAGCCTGCGAATATGTAATTGAGACCACATGGACATTCGATAAATGATAGCATGGAATTATGGCGATTAATACGTATTTATAGACTAAATGAGAATCTCCAAATTGATTTAGATAAAATCGACATAATTCCACAATTGTGGTCCTTATTGATTGGCCATGTCTTGATTTCATATTCGAGGGCTCTCACAATGCTGATGGCATCAGCACATTGATGGCTCAATCACATTGCAATAAATGAAAGTATTTTATTTCAAATAAAGCTTTTTGAACTATTTTTGTGTTGAAGCAGGGGGGAGGGGGGCGGAAAACTACATGAACGATTAAGTCTTCATGGTAGAAAAATTACTCAAGATGTGTCTTCTCGTGAACAAAACAGTTGATATTTTGTCAAAGTTTTAGCAACGACATTGGATATTTCATACCAAAACTGCATCCAAAATGGTAAGAAAAATGTTCTACGTGGCATAGCATTCGATTTTTCGAAAAACAAGCAATGTTTTTAGAAACAATGCTTTGTTTTAGTTGAGGGCTCTACCAATGGAAGTGTGAGGGCTCTCATTTCAACAGATCACATAAATGTGAGTCACTGTTTAGTAGGGGTGGGATATAGATATTATTAATTTTTAAGATTTGAAGTTGTTTAACAGTTTTGTTTTGTAATGTAGTTTATAGATATAAAAAAAAAACATTGTCATTCATTTTGTACTTTATTGTAAAAATAGCATGGAAATATTATGTAACTGGTAAAAAAAACAACAATAGAAAAAGCAATGCCGCTGCAGTCAAGAGACAAGCTTTATGAAAATATAAAGAGTATGTACAGCTGCATGCGTGACAAAATTGTCACTAAGAGTTATATTTTACAATGTATCTTTGGAAGTTTTAATTAAGCTTTTTATGTGAACACCCACTTTGATTTTCCTTAATTTTTCGAGTTAAATTTCTTTTGATAGGAAAGCTTATTCATATTTAATTAGGAAGCTAGTACATATAATGCAAAACGTTTCTCAACGGAGACTCCAAGCACAGAAGATATTATTATAAAAAATACTTTTCAAATTATAACAGGAAAAGAACATATGAATGTTAACAAAAGTAATTGTAAATCATAATTACAATATCAAATTCTTAGAAAATATACTTTAATACATTCATTAAAACAAGCTTTAAAATAGTAATGCCATATTGGCAATTTATGCCAAAGCCAGGGTATGTATTCCTATTTATTTCAAACCGAGCTGATATAATTCATATTTCATTTGCGTATTTTGAACAAGGATGATCTAATCATTATTTTGGGAAAATTAGATTGAATGATGATTGTAATTTGAAATTCTCGTTTTAAGAGACCTTTATCCCGTCCAGGAGGAGATCTAGTTACCTTTGAAATACAGCCAATACATTGAAAATAATGAATGCTCCTCGGAACTAGTGATTGTTTTCGATATCATGTGACATTTCGTTGAGTAGAGTTATCACCAGCAGAGAAATAAAACGAACATTGACAAGATCAGAAAGGCCGCGATTGTACTAATTAATCTAGATGATGTACATGTATACTTCAGAGTCACAGTTGAGAGAAAGGTGGCTTTTTCCAGATGAACGTAGTATTCATCAAAATTCATTCCCTTTTTTTCCCGTAATATTATTTCTCATACTTTCTTATGAAATAAAACGTTAAAATCTACACATTAAGCAACACGATGTTTCGTTCACTAATAATCTCTAAACACAATTCACTGGAATAAAAGTTACCCCGTAATGAAAAATCAATGAATAGAGTCCCGTCAGATCCACATGGCACAATGATGGCAGTCTAAATTTAAATAACCAGGATTGGTTTACATAACCTCATTCCATTTTGCCTATAGTAATAATAGCACAGGGTGAGTATGTAAAACGCTATGAAAGAGAAAGAAATGTAACTGAAAATTAACATGTAAAAATAGTACCGATATAAAAATTGATCACACCAATTGTTAGGCTCGTGTAAAGTTTGTTCAAAATTTGGGCTAGGTTTTGCATAGTACCATTCATTCCCAAGGATAAACCAAACTATTATGAATATATTGAGCATACAATCTGTGAATTTGATTGAGCGCGATAAAACTGCGTCACCGGAACCGTCGCCATCTTGATCAGTATCGTCAAGCGATTCGTAATTCGGTGACTTCCGATGTCGCAAAAGGATAAATGCTAGCTTTAGTAAACCTGACCCTCCTCCAACAGACAAATATATAGTCAGCATATGTTTCTGAGGACATTCATTTTTATAAGTACTCCCTGAAAATAAAAATAAGATCAACAGTAATACAGTGAACTTTAAATTAAAACATTTATTTTAAGAAAGGAAAAAAAAAACACATTTTATACAGAAGTCACTGATAAAATATTAGATAACTATTTCACCTTCATACAGGCCAAATTCGGGACAGTTTCAGATGATACCTGACTCCTATTTAACTAACATTGCCTATTACAGTATTTTTACTTTTATTACTATCACATTACATATATACAGCTCACTTGCTTTAAACATTAAATTTCAACTGTAATTATGACACTTTATATCACGTCAACCCTTTTTTGTATCTCATTCCGCTTGTAGTGAGTGGAGGTATGTCGGCCCGATATACTTCTAGCCACTACACTGACATTTACACACGATACGACGAGTTACACGCGGTTTTAAACAGATTAAGTTACATAAAACACACTTTGATCAGTAAAGTGGTGTGTCATTTAGACCAGTGGAGAAAGTTGAAATCAGAGCCGTCATTAAGTACCTCTGTAAGAGAGGGATGTCCCCAAGGAAATCCATGAAGACTTCATGGATACACTTCGGAAGGAGTCCCCTTTCTATAGCACTGTAAAAAATGGACTGCTGAATTTAAGAGGGTCAGGGAGAGCACTGTAGAAGATGACCGGCCATGGCGGCCAAAAGAGACCACCAACGATGAAACTGTCGAAGCTGTGCACGATCTGGTCATGTGCGACAGAATGCGAGACCTGCGAAGAATTGCTAGGGAAGTGGGTATAAGCTCTGGTTCAGTTCAGGCATTCTGACTGATGTCTATGGCATGTCAAAGATTTCCGCTAGATGGGTCCCCAGTCAGTTGACCGACGACCAGAAACGGACAAAGCTTGACATTTCAAGATATCTTTTGTCTCGCTAAGAGGATGAACCTGATTTTATCTACCGGATCGTAATTACCAGAATCCAAAAAACAGAGCATGCAGTGGAAGCACCCTGGCTCACCCCTCCGTGAGAAATTCAAGAGGGTGCCATCAGCAGTGAAGATGATGGCTTCATTATTTGGGGATAGTCAGGGGATAATCATGATTGACTATCTTGAGCAAGGTCGTACCATACATAGTACGATCTCAAGTTGCGATGACTGCCGCAGCTGCGGTTATGAAATTCTTCCCCATCCCCAATATTCTCCGGACTTGGCCCCTCTGACTTCTACCTGTTTTCGAATCTGAAAACCAAGCTTCGTGGTAGACGTTTTGGAAGCAATGAAAGCGTCATAAAGGAGGTCAATGAGTTCTTTGAGGACCAAAATAGAGAGTTCTCTTTTGAAGGGTTAAACAAGTTGGAGCACATGTCAGGTGGGCAACAAGCATTGATGTAGAGGGCGATTTGATTGAAAAGTAAGACCATTAGTTGGGTTCTCTGACTACCGGAAGTACATCGGTACACCAAGTACACCAAGAACTTTTTAATCAATCCTCGTGCAAACATATTTTAAGATAGTTTGACTTATCTAAATTTCCATTATTTACATAAATCTGTTGATAAGTTACTTAAATTAATACACCCTAATAGAAATTTTGTATGGATTTGATGAATACAAAAAGACAAAATGAAGACTTATCTCAACTCATTAATGGGAATTTATAAACATGAGTTTAATAATGACTATTTTTATAAAATAGTCTCTGTTATTTGGGGAACAACTTATACCCTGCCCTGGTTATGACGTAGGTACTGTAGCTACGTCATATCCTTTTAAACTGGCGTCAAATGTTGTGGTAACAGTGGAAGAAATCAATTGTTGAAAAAAATGAAAAATCGCTGATTAAAAGCACTATAAAATAAAATTAGTTAAAGTTTAATATTGTTTTGTTGTTGTCCCAAATAACAGCTGAATAACAAACAATCTTGACATTTCTTTGAAAGTGTAGCCAATAACAAAACATCTCGAGCAATGCTGTAAATAATTTTTTAATAACGTCAAGAAAAATTATAAAACAAAATGTTACCAGGTTTATGGAAAAAGGTACATTGCACATTAATGAATGAAACATTTGACAATCAAATCTGAGCCGTCTTGATAGCTCAATAGTTAAATCGGTGGACTGTGAATCTGGCGACCCGGTTCCATTCCCGGTTACTTTCGTTGTGATTGATCATGAAATCTTTTCTACGGTCATTTGCACTGTACCTCTTCTCTGATATGTATAGACGTTTCAGTTCCTTGCGAAAGTGGAGGCAACTAATGCTGGTAAACTGCTTGACAGTCTGCCAAGAAACTACCAACATCATCACCACCAGCAATTTAATCTTTCTTATGACCAAATTCAATCAAATATAATTTTTTTGGAAACTTTTTTTGGCAGTGAAATGCTATCTGTGCGATATAAAAAGCAGTAACTGAGTGGTAACAAGCAACTTTAGGGTAACAAGCAACTATGTGGTAACAAGAAACCAACTTCTTTACGTTAGTTTTAGATAACTTTCACGTGAAACGATAGATTTTTAATTTATTAAAACAAGAAAACGTATAAAAGATAAATACAAGTACATACCTACAAACAACATGGAAAGTGGAACAACTGAAACAATTACCAGGAGGCACTTTGTTATAACTGAAATAAATATAGGAATAAAATGCTTAAAAGCATAGCCATCTACCTAAAATATTTACAATTTTTTTTTATTGAAAGTTACCTCATTCTTGTATTATCAGCATCAGTTTATACATGATTTTAGTTCGATTGTGTAAAAAAGACATATAAGCTTATTGAAACACTCTCGAATCGGTTCCTGAAACCTATCAGTTATAGTCTTGCTAAAAAAACAGCAGCTTTTGGGTTTGAACCCACGCGACCAGCAAGCCTTAGATCACCCGGCCACGCCGCATTATCTGTTTTGTCAATAAAACATGAAATAAGTGTACAGGAAAGACACGTTTCATAATATCGTATATTAATATATTTAATGTTCTTCATTACATTAATGTCATTAGTTGCGACTATTGATCGTTTTTATATAATTATACGTATAAGCTGTTTATGATATTAAACTCATAAGCATTAGGTGGCTGATTATGTTTGTTGTTCATTTTATTAAAACAACACTACTAAGGTCATAAAGCTGATGGCATCATTGAGAGAGATTAAATGTGATAAAAACAACAGATTTGCACTCGGAAGAAAACACTGGCTTTATCATAAGCTGGTTTGATATGTGGATAACAAATGAACTATCTCAGCTGTTTTGCAGTCAAGTGGCATGCAAAGGGAAAACTGTTGGGAATCAGTGAAGTACACCTAGACTACTAGAATGTCATACGTCCATACTGTGGTAACAGTAACATTCGTGGTAACAGTTAGATTTGTAGTAAAAGTAAAAGATTCTTGTAGCAGCAACTTTCGTTGTAACCGTAACTTTTATTGTAACAGTAGCATTTGTGGTAATAGTAACGTTCGTGGTTACACTAAGATTCGTAGTAAAAGTAAAAATTCTTGTTGCAGCAACACTCGTTGTAACCGTAATTATTATTTTAACAGTAGCAGTTGTGGTTATAGTAATATTTGTGGTAACAGTAACGTTCACATTCGTGGTAACCGTAAGATTCGTGGTAAAAGTAACATTTCTTGTAGCATCAACAATCGTTGTAACAGTAACTTTTACGGTAACAGTAGCATTTGTGGTAATAGTAACGTTCGTGGTAACAGTAATATTCGTGGAAAAAGTATCATTTTTATAGCAGCAACATTCGTTGTAACCGATAAAATTTATGGTAACAGTAGCATACTAGTAACATTCGTGGTAACATTTACATTTGCGGTAACAGAGATTGTAGTGGCAAGAGTAACATTTATGGTAACAGTAGCATAATAGTTACATTCGTCGTGGTAACAATAACATTTGTGCTAACAGTAACATTTGTGGTTACAGAATGTTTATGTTAACAGTAACATTTGTGGTAACAGTACGTTTAGCGGTAACAGAGACTGTCGCAGTAACAGTAACATTTATAAAACACGTTTGCTTCGTGAAAGGTACACACGTGATATTTTTTAAACATGTATTACCTAACATAGACTGTTTTTGAGCATATTGTTCTTTTTATATTTATATATTTATTAATAATAAAAAACACTTTCATCGTGTGTGCGTGTGCGTGCGTGCGTGTGTGTGTTTTGTTGTTGTTGTTTGAATAGACTATATGAAAATACTTCATGCGCGAAGTTTTCTGAAATTATGCATCAAATGCAATGTGTCTTCAATCGTTTGTATTAAAACTGTTAAATAGTAATACCTAGTCTATAAATAACATCTGTTGCTTTGTTTACAAAATCTATTAGACCAGTTGAATACTCCTGTAAGAGCGAAATCTGATGGCCGAACTCAGATTCTGTCCCCGGTGATGCACAGCTGCTCGTTCCAGTAAATAAATTACTGGCGCTAAGGTTGGCATTCTGAAAATAAAGATAACATGAGGTCTTTAAGAATGTCCCTTTATTTGATAAGAAGGTATTTAAACATTTTATATTAACATGATTGTGACTTTACAACATGTTATATATACATGTATATAATACATTTATATGTATATATTTTAAAACAAACCTGATTAAAGGCACATGTACAGTATGTCCGCTGAAACGAATAAATATTTCATTGTTTTAAAAGAGAAAACATGATTTTTATATCGTTAAAAGTAAAGGTTTTAGAGCATGTTAGATGCTTATAAACGGAAGAAAGTAGCGCTGAATGTGAAATGTTTTGTAAAAAAAGGAGTGATATGTAAACAAAGTAGAATTTTGACTTTCATATAAAATACTAAATCACTATATACACTGTACTAATTGCAAAAATTGCAAAAATTGCAACAGAAGCCAAATATAGTTCAGGTAAATGATTTTGAGAAATAAGAATAAAAGCATTGTTTAAAAGTTCTATTATCTTTCTTGATAAATTTAAACGTGCTAATTTGTGCATTTATCACTTACGTGTATTTATGCTATAGAGCTATAGGATTTTCTTTCACATTTTTATGTCAATATTCTATTATTAAGGTCGTTTCGATTAGGAAAACCAGAGTGTAAAATGCTAACTTTCCTGTACATGTAAAGAAGCAAGTTTATAGTGAAAATGTTATGTATATTTAACTCAAAAATGCATATAATTGTTACCATTTTACATACTGTTTGAGATAGTGATTACGGAAAGAGTTTCTAAAAAAGCTTTCAAGCTTACTACTCAATCCGTACTATTTATTATTTGTCAATTATCATGTAAATGTAATACTTATAAATAAAATATTGTTTAAACTAAACTAAACTAAAAGCATTTCTGCGGCATTGTGGGTATGTAATAAAGAACAAGATCGATTGCACATACGCTAAAGCATATAAGAATGTATTGTACATTAATTTTGGTTTGTTTTAGTTCTTTTGTTAGTTAGTTAGTTTGTTTAGTTATTTGTTTGTTATGTATACTAGTATATTGTATATATTGGGGTGATACACGCCAATTCATCAGTTTGCAAATCTAAGGACAAAACTTTCAGCTGGCAGTCGATCATACAGGTGATACATATCATCATTACATTTTGTTGTAGAAGTAAAAAAGCGGGAACTTTTCTCACTAACGCATATAAATTATAATATTTTATGGTTCTGTTTTTTCTTGTTCACGAACGTTACTTTGATTTATGAATATTCGTTCCATACTGAAACAAATATTTAATTAACTTGCTCGGAATTTATTTGCTTCATATCGCATTTAATTGATTTTTCAACATTAGATAGGTGTAAAGTTTCAATTCATTATTAAAGGACTTAAACGCATATTTGAAATATTGAAGCAGAAATAAGATACTTTCTGCTAGAGCTCGAATGTTTTTCATGATTATATTGGTTATTAAAATGACTTATAAGTTGCTTTTAGTATGTTCGTAAATTATTTGCACCATGGTCGACGTTAAAATTGATTTTAATTAATATTTGTTGTAAAATACCAGCAAATTGATATGGCAAATATCAATTTTTTTTTATCATTTTTTAGAGTAAATAAATTATTACCTTATTGATAAAATAAAACTTTCATTTTAACTTCCATCTTGTAAGTTATTACAGAAATGAATAAAAACTTGAAAACAGTCCATGCAAGCATGGGCACTAAGTAGTAAGTGCTATCATCTTGGCAGGAAATAAGACCTGCCCGATGTAGTCTAGAAAGAAGTTCTTTGAAATTATGTAGTGCCTCTTTTTTCAGCAGCTACTCTACTCTAAATGACTATTTAAGTGTATTTATTGTACATGTACACGTTATAGTGCTGTTTCCCTATATACATTTAATATTACAGAACATTTATGTATGCATGCATTTCACATTATAACTGAAATTACATATTTTCGTCGAAAATTATTATATTGCTCTTATCACACACCCGTGCTGATTTTGCGACTCCGTAAAAATGTTATTGCACGGTCGTGCATATAATTTGATTGACGTGACGTCATAAGCGTTATACAAACAGTGTAAAGACGCACTAGGCGCGTCAATGAAAAATGACTCTTTTTTCACTTTAAGCGGTCTTTATTTTGGGTAATGATAAAAAGAATATTAAATTCGTGTAAGTTCATTACTTAATTTATTGAACTCGTTGAAGAAAATAATATTATGCTCGCCAGGGGCTCGCATAATACAATTTTATTCAACTCGTGCAATAAATTCAGTATTGAAGTATATGCTCTATATATTTCCCTAATGTACATTATCATAGCAGTTCTCGAAACATACTTTCCATTTCCAATGATAAATGAAGAAAAGATGAAAATAATGCCCTTTTGATACACAACATCATAAATAATAAGAAATAAATATTCCATGAGTTATAATGCTTTTATTTTGGGAGGCTTAGTGATGGTAAGTGACTACTATTGTACGTACTTTTAGTGGAAGTTGACCTCTCTCAAATAGAGAAAAAAAGAATCCCTAAAGAAAGCGCAACACGGCAAAATTGAAAATGTTGCAGACTCAGTTTGATTGAATCTGTTCAAGTTGTCATACACATCCATATTACATGTGTCTAGTAATTTTAAGATCAGGGAATACAACACTAAATATAGGTATTTTCTGTAGAGGTTATCAGGACAATTTCAGAGCAGTGTAATGAGGCAGAAGGATGATGATGATGACGATGATGATGATGATGATGATGATGAACAGGAAGAATGAAAATGAGCTTGTGGAAGACTAATATTATTCATTAATTATGTTCGTGCTCTGTATTTTGTTTGTGATATTTACATACATCAATGTGTGTCAAGGTAACGGGTATATGTTACAAATAATGATCATATTTATTATATATCTTTGATGTACATGCATAGATTTTGTTATATATAAAATTATAGTTTTGATAAATTCTACGATATTAAGAGATTTCATTCTACCTACATGTATATGTCTATATGAAAACTGTAGCATAATTCTTTGATTAACACTATTGTGCATTTATAATATGGACGTGATTTGTTCAAACTGTTAAGTATTTTTAAAGAAATGTATGCACTGGAATTCTAAATTAGTATGACATAAACGATTTCATGGAAAGAGCACAAATGTTTAAGGGACAAAATATATTTTAGTTTTTAAACGTATTTATTTGTTTAAACACAATTTGTGATATTATTTCTCGCAACCTATATGTAATCAGTACTAATCACTTTCGAGGCCACTAACAGACTCTTTTTAGTACTGGTCTCATATGAGGCAACATGGTCGTGACTCGAGAAGGGCTTTTAACGCACGATCTTTGATCTTCGGTCTGAGCGGCAGACTCTCTAATCACTAGGTCAACGCGCCTTTTATAAATTATTCTCTTTCCTTCAAATCAATTAACCCTTTACTGTCTTCAAACGTTGATATATCAAAATCATCATTTTGCTCACATTCTTGTAAAAAATTGTTGAAAAAAACTTTCTCTTTATACGCTATATATACATATACCCAATATGAACATTTTGAATGTTTAATTATTTCCTGTAGACTAATTATGTATAACTATCAATTAATCATGTAAGTGTTGGAGATGACATTTTCCTCTATTTCCTGTCACCACATTAACACATTGCACTGATGTACAGATGAAAACAAAACGCCATATATACGAACGGTATTCTATTATACTCGTGAACTTTTTTTATAAGTATTATATTTACTTAAAAAGCGTTTGACTTAAACATTAGACTGTTGGATTTGTAAAATGGACTAGTCCAGATTTTCTTTTTTTTTCTTTCTTTTCTTTCCTTTATCAATTTGGGTGATATAAAAATAATAATTTGATATTGGTCAGCAAACAGCAAAGAATCATTTCAGACCAGTAGGAAGTGCCTGCTGATCTGGCTTTAACCTAGTAACAAAGGCTAATTATCACCGGCTCCAGCAAGTTAATGGCTATTTATGTACGAGCGTAGTTAAAACTCATATGGAAGAAGTGTAACTTTTTTTCAGAAACATATGCGTTGATTAAAGTTCTAAAGTTAAAAAATGTTTCAAAGGAAAAGTCAAGACTTATTGATTATTGAAGTACATCTGGAAATGATCACTGACCTTCTGAATGAGTATGGCGTCTCTTCAGAAAACAAATTGTTAGTCTTATTATAAGTTATTCTTTAAACTTGGTAATAAACTATATTATTTTACGGAAAGACTATGAAAAATATGTTGGAATTGAACTGAGAATACATCATGTACATGTATTCACCAGAAAGTGAACTTTACGGCATATCATACTTGATAAATAGTATTATAGTAAATCAAATAAAAACAAAACAAACTACTGTTCAGTAGTGAAATGCACCCCAAGCATGGAATAAAATGTAACCACTAAATATAAGTCTAACACAACTAAATATAAGTCTAACACAACTAAATATAAGTCTAACACAACTAAATATAAGTCTAACACAACTAGATATAAGTCTAACACAACTAAATATAAGTCTAACACAACTAAATATAAGTCTAAAATCAAATTTACTCATTAAAACGAGAAAAAAAATTCGTATGCGCAGTAGCTCTTTGCGTTCTTATTTTGATGTCTTGATGATGAAATATCAATATTTATCAACGCCTGTTTTAAGAAATATCAAAATACAAAAAAGGTTACATGTTACGTTCGGAAGCTAAAACTTTTAAATATGACATATTGTTTTTAGAATTGAAAAGATATATTTATTTGTCAAAGAGAAAAAACGTTTTACCTACATATATTGGTTTTGTAAATAGTTTAAAATCAGCATGACTATCTAAATAAATACAAATTTGACAGATGGTGAAAATAAAGGATGGGCAATTATTAGATCCTTAATTGTTTAAACTACACTTAATATGTGAAACAGAACTTAACTGAACCGCGTAACAAATTAATTGTTTAATAATTAGTAGTAATTTTTTATTTATTAATGTTTTTGAAAAATAGATGTGTTTATTGTATGTATGTTTATATTTATGTACATGTATATACTGTATGTGTGTTTGATAATATTTACATTAACATAATTACATGTATTATGTTAAAAAAACTACCAAAAGGCTTGTTTGTTTGTTTAGTTGACTTCTTGCAGGACAATATATTTCTTTCAATAATTTGTCCATTACTAAATTTAAGGACAGCCAACTGGTTCAGACTATTGGGGTGCAGGCATTTCTAATTCTATACAGAACAGTGTCGCTGTATAAACTCTCTTTTTCATTAATAGCACAATATCATTTTCTATTATTTTGCAATAAAATGAATAAAGCTAAACTCCAAAATGCAATAATAATTCATAAACATACCTATAAATGTTTAGATTGATATTTTATTTAGTTTCATTTGATTTACATTTTTACAGTTATTATATTAATATCACAATGCGTATATGCAATTTACCTCTCCGGTGTCGTTGAAATTGTAAAGTATTTCTTTCGATTCTGAATAAGAAGGTCCTTTAAACGACCTTTTAAGTCTACAGTGAGAGATATCCATATTGCGTTATATACACTTTGACTATTTAACGAAAATATCTGATTTCAAATCCAAAACATTTTTCACTTCCCTATCTCCTTAACATGCAGAATTAAGTTCATTATTCGCACTATAATTCGCAATGCAATAATGGTACTTCAACTTCAAGTCATGATCTTGCATTTCCGCGCAAAGCATGGTTAGTCACAAAACATAAATTGGTTATAAATAATCTTAATTGTCTATATCTTCATTGTAGGAGAAAACAATATCATTTATTACCAGCTTCTAGTCTATCAGCATTCGCTCCATGCAAATGGTCATATCAATAATTCAGTGCTATATTACAAAGACAAATGGGCACATAACATCTTTCTATAAAGGACAATTTGCTTTGGCAAAACGTGTGAGAAAATCAAAGCGACTGATAATGTTTCTGTATGGTTTAGCTGGTAAGATGATTGTCATTTTGTTGAAAATCATCATCGCCGGTTACTCTACATAATGTTGTATTTACGGAATATATAGCATGAGCACGGACTTTAATATGCTGTTAATGTCTATGACGCGGGAAACATGATTTTTTCAAATATACGATATTTATATAAATGAACGAATGATTTATTACTTATTTCAATTTATACTATCTTATGATCTCTCAAATTTAATTTCCTTCGATTTTATAAGTCTAAGGAATTCCGAACGTCTTTTTGGCAACCAAAGGCAATCTGATGCCGAGCTTTCTTCCTATAAAATTAATAGGGACAAACAGATATATAAGAAGAATATCCATTGGTCATTTTACAATTAAAAATCTAAAATCTAGACATCTCAATGACCATTCTAAAATTAGTGAAATAATAAAAACGATCTTTTGTAATTTAATACTAATTCAAGTTAAAACAGGGGGAAAAATCTGCTTTAAAGAGACATAAATATTGTTATATTATTCAATTTTCAAATTTGCTAACAAGCTCTTCAGTAATACAGAATTTGTAAAAGTAATTACAGCCATTGTAAATTAAGCATTGCTAACACTTCTCCATATTTATAAAACTCAGGGATAACCCGCACAAGTTCAACATCGGCCAAGTATCTCTTTTAATGATATTCTTGTTTAAATTCCCACAGGAAAATTGGTTCATATTCGCTCCAGCGTTCGAAAAAATATGAACTCTCAAGAATTCTTCACCATGACAACCGTTTTCATGTTCAAGATTTTCATATTTCATTTGATACTTTAAAACATGATATCATGTATCATGTATTAATATATGGTATTGAAAATTTAATTCAGTTCTGCACACGTCGAATAACGAAGTGTTATAAATTGTGTTTAAATTTTAAATTTATTAATATAAATAAATTTATATATAAACCATACTCCGCCCATATTCACAAGACAAAACATGAAATAACATTTACCATGCTCTTAAACCATTATTCAAATGTTTACCATTCCTAAGAGTGAATAATTTTTTTCCCTTTTTCAATTGCCTTTAATGAAAAAATCAAAAAAATTCTACAAACCATCAATTTTTCTTCAAAATTAAATGTTATGCCATGTTTTAACATGGAAAAACGCGATTTTGGGTAATTTCAGGTATTTTCATCATTTTCTGTTAATGAAAAAATTAAAAAAATTCTACAAAACATCAGTTTTTCTTCAAAATTATATGTGAGGCCATGTTTTAACATGGAAATCGCGATTTGGGGTAATTTCAGGTATTTTCATCATTTTCTGTTAACTTATTACCTGATATACACGCATGTTAATGCCTCCCCCCCATATTTGTTGTCTCAAATGGTGAAAAAATGCCTTATTTAGGCCCTTGTTTTTGTTTGAGAAATGTTGCTCAAAAAAGTGACCACTTTTTCGGCGCTGCCCCGATCCAAAAGAAAAGATCAGGGGGTTGCCAGAAGGGGGGAGTGCCCCCTTCGGTTTGGGGGGTTTAAAGGGGGCGGTAGTGCCCCTCATCGCCAAAAAAATCAAAAATCAATTTGGATGGAAAAATCAACGCAAAAATGTGATTTTTGGCAATTTTGAGATGTCCCCTCGTTGCCATGGTAACAGGAAATTTAAGACTGAGCATTTCGTTACAAAGGCAATGGTCCAGTCAACATTTGTGCCCAGTTTGATTAATATTGAAGCAGTTTCTTTAGTTTTATAGCAATTTGAACTTGTAACGGGAGACTTTTTAATGAAAACAGCCATTTTTCACAAAATGCTCATGAAGTAATGGGTTAAGCAAAGCTTTGATATGGCTGAATATCTAACATTGATTTTAAATAAAAATATAGACATGTAATTTCTAAAATAAGACTAAGGTAGGTAAGGAAAATTATCTGTGTACATTATGTATACAACCAACAATGGAAGACGAATTTCATTTCATATTACAGTGTCCTGTATATATTCACATTTGAATAGGTACGTAGGTAAAAACAAGACCAAATATGGTAAACCTCATCTACTTATAATCGTCTGGTTATATGAATCTTTCACATGCAAAATATTTTATTATAGCATTTGAAGAAAGAACGCCTCTTTAAAAGACTAACTAGATATATCAAATACTTATTTGATACCGACTCAATAACATGTATATTAATAAATATAACTTGAATGTTAGTATAGAATATATCTGCAAATTAAGTCAAACATAAAGAAAGTAGGAAAGTTAAAATGAATATTTTAAAGTCTTAATTTTGTTCAACATATTACGAGGAAATAATTTGAGGTTGGCCCTGTGTAACAATATTTAGTGCATGAAGTTAGGTCCTGTCCAATAGAATTGCGGTATTTCAAATGAATCATAACACATTTACTTTGGTTAATCGACTTAATTTAATCAGTCTAGTAAATCGACAGTTTTATATCGAACAATATCAAATACTAAATTGGCTAGTGATTATAAGAAAGCATTTGAACCGTTCTTGACCAATTTTATTTTGTACTTGCTTACTAATAAACACTAACCTATACTTAAAGCAAAGCAACTATAGTTAAAGGTTGCGCGTATTTTACGATGCTGACGAACAATACTAAACTAGGTAATGTTCTTCTTGAAATATCTTTTTCAGCTTATTCACGAATCTTGATTTCTGTTGTGCATGTACATGCTTATATATCTCTAAAAATAAACTAGTCTTGAAAGAAATGAAATTCTACGAAAACAACCACCCCTTTATAAAATTGCTAATTGTGTGAAGTATCAAAATGAAAAAAACACAACATAAAAATGTTGTTGTTTTTGAACAAACACTAAATATAGTAAAATATAGTCGCATCGTTTCGTTAATAATGATTTTTTTCGTCATGAGTACAAGGCACACTGAATCTTACTTTATAAGATTTAATTAACAATATTTTCCTTATAACAATTTTTTATACTTATACAGTACCTCTTCAGTATCATTTGAATGGCAGAGTATTTCCGTCGATTCAGAATGTCCTTTGCACGACCCTTTAAATGTAAAATGAGCTAGCGTCATAACGCGACAGTTCCCTTTTGAGCATATCCTGTAGTAATATATTTTTATAAACACACATTGTCTCTCATTTTTCTATTAATCAAACATCCATATTCCACTGTTCACAAAAGTCAGTCAGTTATAGAATGAATTCTTTAAAGTTCAACAATCACAACCAAATAACATGTACTTCTAGTCTACCACAACTCTCTCTCTCTCTCTGTGGAACAATCATTCATATAAATTATTCACAGCTGTGTTGAACGCAAAGACAAATGAGCGCGAAGTTTCTTTCTTAATACGGAAAAATCGTCTGCAGACAAATTCAGTGAATTAATCAGAGTAATACTTAGCTAATACGCGTATGAATATAACAAAGCTACTGATAATGAATCAATATTTCCTAGAGTAAAATGAGGAAGAACTTAATATATAATTATTATCTTAAAGAAATTCATGAAACAGTTTATCTTTTCTGTAGAAAACAAATGTTTTGGAAATTGGAAATCGATTTTTTAAAATTCAAATATATTTTTTTTTCATTAAATGTATTTTTTAAATTTATTTATCTATCTATTTGGTTGATACTGAATTCATATTAGTTCGATTGTGTAGGAAGCTATAAGCTTATAGACACACTTTCGAATCCGTTCATGGAACAAACCAGTACTGAGCAATGAGTGTAACGTTTCTTGTTCAAGGAAACAACGACTTGCCTCTGAAGTGATTTGCACCCATGCGGCTAGCGATCATTAGATTACTAGTCCAGTGCGTTAACCACTCGGCCATGTCACCACTTTATCTCTATCTATTAATTTATTTATTAATATTTGCTTAATTTTTCTTCTTTACTTAAAGAGTTGCCAATTTTCTTTAAATATGGCCCATTTTATTTTGATTCTCCCTACTTGAACCGAATGAACTGTACACAATGGTTATATGAAATTCCACGAACTTTTCTATTGTGACTAGAGATAAAAAAATAACAAAAAAATAAATTCGAGGACAGAAATTATCAATAACGAGGTCAACCCCCATATTTTTCTTCGCTTTAAATGTTTTTGGGATCATAATCTAGAGTATTTTCGCAAAGTTTTAATAAATTCTATCTGTTATAAGTCTATATATAACCAAAGCACACGTCCTTTAAATTCTCAGGCAAAGGAGTAGTCTCGTGTATTGTATATTGCAAAACTTCATTTCATATCATATCATTGATTGTCATGCCATTAAAATTTCTTGAGTTTTTTTTTCTTAACATTTTCCTGAGCGTTCATTAGTTTAGCTCGTTCTTGCGTATATATTCACAGCGATTCATTTTCTTAAACATTAACTACTCTTATATCTCATTTACCATGACAACAGTGTCTACGACTCATTTTAACAATTTATTTGATATAGTAGAAATTACATAACTTGTCACGTGCTGAGATTTGAGGACATATCAATCTTCCCAATATTTTTATTGACCTTCCGGTTACAAGAAAAATTCAACAAACCGAGTCTGCAATTTTGTTTTAATAGATCTCAAGGGATCTCCTTTTTCCAGATTTTTATAAATGATATATTAATTCCTTACACGAAATGGTATATACATGAACTTCAAAACAGGGATTTCCATTTAAAACACATTGATATACAAATGTATATTACTTAAATTGTACATGTATAAAGTGTATAAAGCTTAACAACACGTATTTACATTATAACTTTAGTTGCATTGAATGTATGCTTAGTCTACGTGATGACTAAATTTAGCTTATTTTTACATCATATTGTTTTTTGTTTTTTTTTCTGAAAAATTCAATTTCAGGTGCAAGCCGTTGTTTCTGTGAGGAAGAAACATTACACTCATTGTTTAGTACTGGTAGGTTCCAGGAACGAATTTGAGAGTGTCTTAACCAACACAATCGAACTAAAATAAATCAATATACACTTAACTAAAATTACTTTCGGTATTGTTGATAATATCAAATATTGAAATTTTATTGCAGTTTCTAAAACGCAAATATTTTAAATACTTTTTAGGAAAATATAAAAGGTTGATATAATTGCATAAATGTGATATAATCGCATAAATGTTTCGCATTTAATTAACATTTTAATAATTACTGCAATATATTGTAAAATTGATGTTAAGGATAAAGAGATATATGCGAATGAATATAAAACCAAGTAAAAAGTGAATGCATGCGTTGATTTCCATTTGAATTGACGAAATCCTGTCTCAAACCAATAAAACTGATTTTATGGTACGTGTGAATAGTATTTATATTTGTTTCCAGTTAACACAAAAACAGTGTTGATATATTTTATCTGAAATTTAGTATTTTCATGAATTTCCAGAAGCAGACTTTATAAATTTTTTATTCCCGATACATTTGTCCATCTATCCTGCACATTTATTTCGTGAAAACAAACATATGGAGCAGAATATTTCACTGTAAACCAATTGTAATGTTAAATGTTCCATTCATTTTCTATTGTAGAGAGTTTTCTACGTTATAATCTTTAAATGGAATAATCGTTCATATATATTATTCATTACTTACAAATGTTTTATCTGAATACAGCACGTGAAGTTAATGTGTTTTTTATTCTCGGATTACCGAGCCACTGTTAACTTTCTGACAAACCAAGAGGCAAAATGTATTTGATAAAAGTATACAGTATTCATGTACTGTGAAAAGGCTAAATGTTGTTTGTTGACCCTGTAGTTATAGTTAACAACATCAAAATGAATTTTGATTATTGAAACAAATACTACATGATAATTGCCTACTTTTTGCAACTGCTCATTTGCTTTCTTGAGTCTTCTTTACGAAATGTTTACCATTAAGTTTTGTAAAACTGGTCTCAATATACTTTCACAATATAAATCCATGACAACATTTATATAGAGATATATTTATGTAATATGTAAATCTGTTACACTAGACAGCGTATCATATAGCATGCGCTATAATTTAGTATTGAAAATTAAACTTGACTTCTTCCCTATAGTAATATTACACTGCATCATATATTTTCCTGCATTATTTATAAAACATTGATTAAATAGGTTCATATTACTGACAAATGAATCCCGATAGGAAATGGTATACTCCTTTTACTTAATGCTAAATTTGTTATAAATACATCAGAAAAAATGGCATGAACAAATCTTTAATCTACGATAATGATGAGTTCAAACGTCTGTAAATTACTTTTTATCAAAATGGTTGAAAGGATTTTGATTTTAATGGTAAATTTTATATAAGAGTTGTTTGCGTTTTTTGTTTCTTTTTGTTGTGTGTGTGTGTGTGTGTGTTGGGGGGGAGGGGTGTTGTTGGTTTTTGTTTTCTTTGCTTGGATTTTTGTTTTTAATAAATAAATGCATTGATCATTTTTAACAGAAGGTATACAGTGAAATATCAATTATATCACACTAGTGAATTATATCAGCTTTGATCGATGAGATTAATATAGCATGTATATATATATTTTTATTTTATCCAGATATTTACATTACGGAAAAAATGTATACTAAAACGTAGGTTAAAATTGTTTGTTATCATGACCTGCCCCTATGTCATAGGCGTTATAAAGATATAGAGGATATTTGTTTGTTTGTGTGTAAGATGAAATTTTATTTCATCGAGTGGGCTTTAAAAACAGTATTCTCACGAGTGGCGTAGCCACGAGTGAGAATACTGTTTTTAAAGTTCACGAGATGAAATAAAATTACATCTTACACAACAAACAAACAAATTTTCTTTTTATTTTATGCTAAAAAACAAGTTTAAACGAAATTTCCATAATATTAACATAAATATTAAAATCTGTTTCCCCATTGAGAGCCCCATTTCGTGCGAATTTCTCATTAAAAACAAGAAGTCTTGAGCTGAAAAATAAGTCCGACAATCAAGATTAAATGACAGTGATATTATTTATTTTGTTTAAAAGATATGAATGATCGCTTGTTTTAATAATAAAAACAAACAATTCGTGTAGGAGAAAATTCCAACCATCCATCCATATTTCTGTTACTTACTGCGAATTTATATTAGACCTGGCTTTGTTAAATGTAAGCGGCAGCCATTTTTTAAAGTTGTGTATTTCACGGGAGGAAAATAATTGTGTTTGATTCAGAGGGATATCATTTGGAATTGTTAGTCATACACTTTTTTAAAAGAAAGAAAACATATTTGAGGATTGAAACAGACAAAAAATAAGTGTTGACAGATGTGAAAACATGAAAAAAGCAGCTATGAAAATGGAAGACTTGGAACTTGCTCGAACGCTGGGTGGTTTACTTGTTCTACGAGCTGTAGCTGTCATTGCTTTTCAATTTTTCATAAAGCATACGGCAGTTATTACTCGTAGGATACTTTAATATGCCCAAATGTCATCAAGAGCAGTTTGCATGTGGAAGGAATGTATTTTTCAGACTGTAAAAATGAAACAATAAATTTAGAGACGAAATTTGGTGATTGGAATTTGAATGAATAGAAGTAAGTTTTCTACTTTTTATTACTTTTGACGTTTAAGGTATTTATCAATTTCAGCTTTGATTTTTCTTTAAACAGCCTGACATTGTCAGAATTGTCAGCAAAAATAAAATTGAGGTACCACATGGGGAAAATCTTAAAAAAGTAGTTTCGTCATTGAAAAAAGTGAAATTATATTTTGATAATTTTCACTGTGAAATTACCAAATATAATTTTCACGGATAAATCAGTAATCCACTGAAAAGCATAAAATAAAAAGTGATATCGACAACCTTATTGACAATATTTTGTTCTGGGACATTTTATTCTGTTTATGTACAATATCCATGTGTGTTAAATAATAGAAACATTCTAATATGAGTATGATGTAATAATTTTTTTGAACAAAATCCTTTTTTTGTTATACGCTATATATTCATATCCCCATATGAACATTTTGAATGCCAAATTATTCCCTGTAGACTAATTATGTTTATTTCATGCTTTCCAGTGTTTTATTGTAATATATCAGATGCTTATATTCTGATAAACCACTAGTGAAATTTATAAAATATAATTTTCACTGTAGCCGGACTATATCTGAATGCGGATGAAAAGAGAATCATAACTAAATGGAATAACAGGCAGAAATAAATGCTGTCATGCGTAAATGTTGCTTCTTTAAGAAAAGAAAGTCGATGTCACCATACATCATGTTAAAAATGTAACAAAATTAGAGAAATTTAACAGAACTATATTTCA